AAAGGTAAGGTGATTTCTATCCGTGCGGTGACGAAGAAAGTACAACCGTTCACCTTGAGACCATAATCGTCACACCATTTTTCTCCAACCTTATTGCCGCGCGTTAGACATCACAGGCGGTGCCCTCAAACTTATCCAGGATTATAACTGACAGATCGTCTGCATAGCCTACCGCGTGTACACCTCCTTGATGACATCCTTTTTCGCCAGTGCTCTGAGATAGTTGTCGTCCTATAGTCTGATTAATCTATTACGGAGCATGCTACTTACCCAATATATAATGGTCTCATCTAATCCGTATTTGTCCAACTACAACTATGCTGGCGAAACTTATTTTGTCAAACGAGCCTTCTGTCTATAAAGTTGCCCAAACAGAGATCTTTTCGCCTGTGGCCATCCTCTATTTTATTTACGACTGCATGTAGTGCATTTTCTGTCGACTTGTCCGGACTATATGCATTATGGTTCGGTTGTAATGGGTTATGGACTAGTTTATTATCACTCAGCTCCTTGTCGCAAAACCTTTCTAAAGTATTTAGATAGTGAGAGACTTATTGGTCTGAACGATTTCGCTTCATTGTCTGCCTTACCTGGATTTGGAATGAAGATTATCTTGACCTCCCTCCAGAGCTTTGTTGTATATCTATGTGCAAGGCACGCTTTCAGGAGGGGCACCAGGATTAGAATTAGCGCGTCACCTGCTCATTGAAGCAGTGCCGAAAGATGATAATCCTACGCGCCAAACTCTATCAGTACCTGGGAAAAATCAGCCTTTAAACGGCCGGTGTTCCTTAAGGTGGCGTGCTATCTCCTTTGCTTTTCGCTATTTTCATTAACTCTATTACCCACTTATTAACTTCTACCTGCCATCTGTATGCAGACAATCTCCAGATTTACACACAGGATCGACTGGAAAACCTAAATAATGCAATAAATAACCTAAATGCAGACTAAGCACATATTACGGAATGGAGCAATGCATTTGGACTCAAAATCAATCCAATAAAAACGCAGTACAAAATTATTGGTAGTGCTTACTTTATATCTCGGATTGACTTTAAGCAGCTCCCATCAGTTACTTTAAATGGAATTGTTATCCCATTCGCTGAAACAGTTCGGAATTTGGGAGTCATATTTGATAACACTCTATCTTGGTTTCCTCAGGTTGCTGAGGTCAGTAGGCGAACTTTTGCTGCAGCTGGCTCGTTACGAAGTTTACGTAACTTCTTGCCTACTTCCACCAAAACTTCTCTTGCAACTTCTCTTCTTCTACCTATTCTCGATTATGCAGATGTTTGTTATCCCTATCTTACCTTTAATCTTCTAAGTAAACTTGAACGACTGCAATTTTTTTCCATCAGATTCATTTACGGTTTAGGTAAGTAGGTACGACCATGTTTCATACTACAGGCAGAAATTGAAGTGGCTTCCCAATCGTCGTCGCCGTGATCTGCATATATTATCCCTACTCTTTTCAGTACTGTTCAATCCAAAAGCTCCTGTCTATCTCAAAGAACGTTTTCAGTTTCTTTCTTCTTCTCGTAATCTTCCGCTTCGTTCATCTGTCAATTTCCTGATTTTCACACCTCCTAACTTTTCCAAGGCGTATAGCCACTTCAGAAATTCTCTGCTGGAAAAGATTAGGCGTGCTCAAACTCTAGTCTGTTTCAAATCCCTAGTTAAGGAGCATTTCTTGTCAGTTGAGCATAATTTTCATTAAAAATATTGCTATGGTAGTAATTTACAAAACTTTTGTCTTGTATTCCGCACAACCTCCCTCATTATTATAATCGTGCTTTCTATTTTTGTCCAGCTCATTGTTGTCTGGAAGAAATCGCTGATTAGCGATAAGACCACCCTTTGTGGAACTCTAATTGTTTTGCCTTGTATTTGTATTTTATTCGTGTTATTTATGTTACTGTTGTGCAATAGTGTTATTATTTATCTTATCTCATTCTTAATGATAATTGCGGATCCTCCGTGGGCCGTTCAATCAGGATGCATAGTTTGATAGAAGTTTCTTCTTAAGTCTGAAGTCTTTCAAGTTTAATCAATTATTTTACTGGCCCCGCATGACTTCTATATAAAACGGTAAAAAATCAAATCCAAGCCACGAACATAAATAAGAGCTTAATGGTAAGTACGTACTTTTAGACAAAAAAATTGAGCCAAATTTTTTCTGTTGGTCATATGACAAATCTATCAGCAATTACCTAAATAATAATGTCCTTAAATATCTAGGTCGGCTTTTTCTGTATTAACCCATATAGATTAGGTCATTATAAATTAAATAAAATTCGGTTTATTTTCTTCAGCATTCCTTTATTGGCTATACAAACAAGAAAAAAATACTTATTAAATGTTGACTGATGATCACGCACCTACATAAAAATTAAAATGCGCCTTTTGAAAAGGGACATCATATAATAATATTAAAAAAAGAAAACGTAAAAATACGTGTACAACTTCCACATTTTTTTTATATCTGGAACATAATATAATGCTTTGCCAATAAAAAATTTAATTTGTTACAAAATCATTGAAAAATATAAATATAACTATGTATGTTAAATTAAACGTCCGAAATAAGTTATTACAATCTAATCAGAATCAAAATCAGAAATGGCATAATAATATGTAGATTGGTAGTGCTTCTGCATAAGCATTGCTCTCTCATATTAACATTATAATTACTTAAGACTATAAGGGTGAATTTATTTTATGAACAGGGTACAATGGGGTTGAAATACATATATATATCCATCAGGATAAAAGCCCCCTTCAAAAAAAAATGTAAGTACCTACTTAAATAAATAGAAACCTTTTAACAATCTTTAAGTGTATATTAAAATAATTTGTGGCTGTTCTAAAAAACATTTCATATTATTATTAGCGCTATACAATTTCTGAAAGCTTCGATTTTAAATATTTGAAACATTGATCACCAAGCACTTGAGTTTATAAATTTATACAATATATAATTATTGTTTTATACCACATACTATTCTAATAATGCCTGCGTTTAATTTAGCTTTGTGGAAGGCGACTTTTAGACATATGTTGCTATTACATACTTTAATAGAACAGCATAACAACGGAAACCATAGCTAAATTTAAATCGCTACGTCGTTTTATTTTGACTAGGATATGCAGGCGATACTGGTTATAAGGTTGACTCAGCTAAAATTATCCTTATATAAGTACATAAAATAAAGCAGCACAGATTACTTTGTTAAAAATCGAAATACTTTTAATTCGTTAAAAGGACCTTAAATTTGATTTTATCAAATTAGTAGATTTTTAAGACCAACTAAAAATTGGTATAATAATAATCTCCTTATATCCAGGTCCGTCTGCAATACATTGCACTAACGTCTATGTTGTATAGGTAAACACAAAACAATGTTCATCATCAATCATCTGCATTTGTCCGGCTTAAATACCTATAATATCACACGAAAGAATATCGTCGCTTGTCACGCGTACGCTACTTCCATTGTGTAACGTCAATGCACACCTTCGCTATACAATGAACAACAAAGAAAAATAAAAATAAATCACTTAAATTAATATTATTTGCACCATTAGTTGTTTGATAAGACCATTAATAAAATAACAACACGATTTACACCGATGGATTTGGTGAGGTCTATTCATCTGTTTTTCACAGTTAAATTAACTTCTTTTTAGTTTATTACGCCTATATAAGTTGACTTCATTAAACGCCCAGTGTCTTTGATAAATAGATGTTACTTTTACAGATGCTGGCAACTGAATTAAAGAAATAAAAGTCGTCAAATTGAATAATCTTAAATTTAACACTGTTTTAATTTAAAGAATGACTTCGTCAATGCTTGTGTTATCAAGTATCAAATTGTTCATATGTGGTTCGACAATATTCAAATATGGCACTGTGCGGGGAGTTAAAACAAATAATTTATATCAAACTTGTAACTATCCCCACAATGGTGTCTTTAAAAATATTGTCCACTTATATTTAATTGTTAATAAGTGTGTGGCATTCTCATGTATCGACTATGGTAGATTTTTTTAAAGTACACAGTTCACAAAATTACACTATGACTATATCGCATGAATATAAGTATGTGCCAAAAAGTATTGAAAAACAAAATAAATAGACCCCTGCACCATATTTACACTTTAACAAGTATCTTGAACAACTTTACTGCAATTTGGAAAGAGATTAACATAAAAATTTGATAACGATGTTTTCACAAGGCAGTTCTGTTGTATAATTATTACCTAGCACGATAACATTGGAAAATGTTATACACGTTGTTATGAAATACAAAGTACATAAACATATTATAACATTATATCGCTGAAACACCTTCAAATCATTTAACTTTACCACGGCAAATGGATCCCTTTCTGATCTGAGCCAGCAAGGGATAAAGTCGATTTTTATTAGGGTTCCGTAGTCCTGACAAGGAACCCTTAAAGTTACGCCATGTCCGTCTGTCAGTACCTGGTTTTGCTTGAAGACTGTAAGCACTAGTGAGCTGTAATTTTGTGGAGATATGTATATCAATCACACCGACAAAATGGTAGAATAAAATTCAGAAAAATAATTTTAGGGTAGCTCCCGTACATGTAACTTGGGGACGAGATCTTTTTCATCTTCTGCCCTATCGTGTAGGGTATCGTTAAATAGGTCGTTTAAATTGCTTAGGGTTTCCAAAGAGTATTTTTCGATTTAGGGATACGTTTGCGAAATATTGAACTTTAAAGTGTTAATTTATTTTAGAGTACTTTTCGTAGTATGATTTGTTAGTATAAGAGTAATAGTCGTTGAACTATGGTTAATGAAAATTTCTTACCTATTAGAAAAATCCTTATAAGAAAACATTAATAGTGACATAGATGAAGTTATTTTAGTGTAAAACCTTGCATTGAAACACAAAATCAAAAAAAAATAGGATTCACAATAACATATCATTAAAATGTTTATTTTTTTAATGGTAGCCATACACACTACGAGAAATCGTTACGTAACGATTTCTCGTTGTGTGTATGGCTACCATAAGCATGTAACTGCTTGATGTTTAAATATAAAAAAAAAATATAACTAGAAAAATATTCACGCGGACCAGGCAGCAGACGGGACTCGAACCCGCACCCTTCGCTATCCGGGCGAATGCACTGACCAATTATGCTACCGCGGCCCTGACATACATTAGTTCCACAAAGCTACTGCGTCGCGAGTACCTCCGGCAACGGCTTCTGAATCAGGCTATCTTTACTTAATGTATTTATTTTTTATTTCTGATAAAGACAATAACGACTGTTACTCAAATATATTGTGGTAACGACAGGCGACTACGGAACCCTACACTGCGCGTGGCACGACACGCACTTGACCGGTTTTTTTTACCTTGGAAGTCTAAATATAACATCTAAAAACAAACTTTTTACATAAAAATTGTTTTATCACAGTTAATTAAATTAATACAAAACGTTCCCCTAGTCTCAATAGTTTGGTTGTTTTACTCGATACGGTGCCTAATGAACCCCATTCCTGAAAATTTATACAATTCAATTGGAATTTGCACTAATACCTTAGCAAATATCATGGATGGTATGTGTAAAATACCTGTAGTATTAGACTGAAAAATATCTATTTCTAAAACCTATTAATATTGAATAGTCCCCGAATTATAGAGACTAGGAGATCACACGTAAAAAATACAAACAAAAACTGCCTTTAGCACAGCTATTAAGCAGAAGAAATACAGAGATAATATCTCTATAAATAAAAAAAATACGTAAGTCTTTGTGAATGGTGCTAATAAATATTTAAAGTTCGAAAAAATTGAACATGTCTAAGCTGAAATGAAATTCATAATAAAATATTAATAATTTCTCTGAGTTAGTACTCAGTAGTTAGTATAGTAGTCTATACACAGTAAAAGTATATTACACAGAAATGGTCACGAAAAACATTCCGAAGATGGAAAAATAATGCAGTCAGAATAGCAGATCGAATATCCATTCATATCATATATTAGAATGAATCTTTGTCAATAATTTGCTATCTGTATATTATAAATATATTTTCTATTTGTATGTACAAACGAAAATTATTTAATTACATTTATGTCGTCAAAACACGACAAACGTCAGTATAATAAATATTCATTGCAATAAATAAAAAAAAATACAAGGTCAAGACACATACTATTTAAATTACATCTTTGTATATTTTTCATATTATTCACAAAATAGAATAGAAAATTTTATATTAATAATCATAATTTCGTTGCAAACGAATTTCCAGCTGTTTTATTGTTATAATACTCGTCAAAGTGTAAACACGATATAGGTATGTTATAATTATTTTATTTTATAAATAAAAAATATATTGTGATTCAGATGACAACCACAGCCCAAACTCAGCGGTCCGACCCGCAACATGACAAAATATACCTACAATTACAATTATTATGTATGTATAACGTTATTACAAAAAGTATGTTAGTCTATACTACAAAAAACACTACTAAAACGAATTATTATTTGGTGGTTACATCTTGTACATTATATCTATGAGATTAAGCTTAAAACCGATGCCGAGTGAACTGATACAGGCGTCAGTCGGCGGCGCGTGAGCAGACGAAGCGCCAGCCAGCGAACGGAACAACAAGCGAATATACACAAACGATACAATGTGTTGACACACAATGAGTCCATGGGGGTGCCGAGCACTGCGCCCTATTCCGAAAACGTAAAACGTGAACGAGTGACGATGTGAAACACATAGTTGGTCCAATGACAGTCTACCACCTAACACACCACCAGATGTCGCTCTTCAATTGTAGCCGCGGTAAATCAGCTTTAACTAGTATGCTAGAAGGATGTTCTCGCTTTACATCAAAGCGCCATCTAGCGAATGTGTAATAGTATAGTAGACCTCATTCGTGTACGAACCTTGAGGCAGGCGTACGTTAGCATGCGTACCTCAGGACCGGCACGTGCAATGTGAATAGGCGATTAATGGATTACGAAGGACCGACTCATAAGATAAAACAATTTACCTAGCTTGACGGGAGCAACAAAACTGAAGTGATCTTGTCAATACCGACCCAATTCCCCGCTTGAATCCTTATTCGCCGCCATGTTGGAAAATGTAGTCATAGTAGATTTTAAAAGTAACAATTGATTCTAAATAAACAAAACTTAAAACATGGAACTTCTGAATAATTATGATGATCAGGTGCATATTAATGATGAATCAAGTCTTGATACGATTTAATTGTGTTGAAGTGAGAAAGTGGCTAGTCCAAAAGTAAAATACCATGTAACTTCCACAATCATTACCTTTACTCTATTCCATGAATATTCGCCTTTGAATATCTATTTACGGTGACGTAAAGCAAATTGTTACAATGAACAATTGAACACATTGTTGCTATATGTTGGTTACCTGAAAATCGCTAAAATTTCGTTTACATAAAACTGGAGCCTGTTCTTCTTTAGCATGCATTACGTCACATAATATATACATCCAAACGATTCCAAAAATTAATACCAGTAATGTTTTATTTAAAAAAATCAATTTGTCAGTGTTATTACGTTCGTACCAAATCAACCATGACTACAGTATCCATTGGCGAGTGTTCACCGGCGGTTCACGCGTTGTACGGCACCGCGGGCTTGGTGGACGTGCACACGAACACGAAGTCCGCCTCGGAGGGGGCGCGCGCGCGGCTGGCCCTGCGTTAGGCCGTGGCCACCTGCCACACGATGAGGTGGCTCTTGGCCGCACGTTCCGCCAGCGAACTCGCGCCGCTTGAGCCGTCCTCCGCTATCACCACGCTGTCCTCCATCTCGGAATCGGCTGTGGAACCGCGCAACATTCATACAACAGTTCAGGAAGGGCGCCACTGTCTACGTAAATGACCCTATATGACATACAAAATATGACGTTTACAGAGACGGCGGCGGCGTTAGTTCCAATTTTCGCCACATTCATAAAGATCCTTGTTGCACTATCGCCACTATCACCACGCTGTCCCCCATCTCGGAATCGGCTGTGGAACCGCGCGACATTCATACAGTGCGACAAGGATCTTTATGAATGTAAGTAACAGTTAAGGGAGGACCCCACTGTCTACGTAAATGACCTTATATGACATAACAATATGACGTTTAAAAGACGGCGGCGTTAGTTCCAATTTTCGCCGCATTCATAAAGATTCTTGTCGCACTATATCTCGCTGATTCATGCATATTTTTATACTATCGACGAGTTTTATTTTCGTGTATTGTATACATTTTCGAAATGAAAAGAGGTAAAGACTCTTCTAATGCTAGCACAACACATGGCTATTAGTATTTGCTATTTCTCATTTTGACAGCAGGTTGTCCTTGTCATACTTTAACAGAAAAGGAGAGGCTGTTGTCAAGTTTACAAATAGCAAATAAAAATAGCCATGTAATATAAAAAACATACATAAAAATAACCTATTTCTGACCGTCCGCTATCACAAACGCTGCCCCCTATCTCGGAATCGGCTATGGAACCGTCCCGTCATTCATGGGTGACTGATTCATGCATCGTTTTGTGCTATGGATCATTGCTGGCTTATTCATGGATCAGCAACTGTTTTTATACTTTGGGAGTTTTCTTGCAAACCGTACTTTTCAAGCGCCATTTGACAGATAGAGGTCATTGGCTTTCCTATTCTTATTTGAATCGCATTATACAGCTGATTTCGTTGTAGAGCGTTTGGAGCGCCCGTCTGGGGAAATAATACTTAAAAAGCGATATATTTTATGAAAAAATAAGCAAGATGTCAAAACTGTATACATGTATTAACAAATAATTGTGCAAAAGTGGAGATCCAGGGGTTTATAGCCCATAAAGTTCATCATATACTTTTTGTATATGCTTATTTTTAGCACTTAAAAATCGGTTTGTGATTTCATATAATCAAATAAGTGAACCTGTTCATTAAAAACTAATAGAGCAAGAGCCCCAGACCTACGTCATTTTATAAAAGCTGAAAGTTTGTCAGCGCATGCTCCCGACACAGGTAAGAACGATGGACCATTATAAAGTTTGGGTTACAGTGGCTCTGTCAGGTAAACATCACTAAAGGTGTGTAAAATACCGATCTAAATTCATCAAATAATAAAGTGCGATTTTGTGGTATTACCTTTAGAATATTATTAAAAATCACGTTATTCATTGCCAGACACTTAACATCGTGGCAACCCCTTGCTAGGCACCCTTAATGTTCATGAAATTATAATTTTACTTACTTTATACTATAAAAGCTGATTTTTATAAATAATACTTGGGTAATAAGTAGATGATGTTTCTTCATTCAACCTCAATTTTAATACTTTTTTATTTACATCTAATATTTACAAATACATTATGATAAAAGTGTGCTTAGTAAGTGAGGCATTTTTTGAAAGCGCGAGCTGTAGGCGATCGCGCTAAGAAGCTGATAGTGCAGTCATTGAAGCGAAAAATACGGTCTTACCTCCGAATTTTTTTACTGTGAACCGATTTGCATGAAATTTTGGAATTAGGCTCACCTTACCCTTAACTGCAAAAGTGAAAATGATCTGAACTCCGCCTATTATTTTTAAGGGGTGTAAACATCCCCTTAATGGAAAAATTGACATTGAGCCATTTTATCGCTAGAAAACCTGTCTAATAGTAAGTGATGAAATTGTAAAGTATTTTCTATCATAATTACCTCATATTAAAATCATTTTCGGCCCATATATGTATTACATATATATTACATATTTAAAAATAATTTAATCTATAGTAAAAAATTGCTATTTATTGAATAAAATATTTACTAATTATATAAAATTGTACTATTATTATTAAAATATAATATTATTATTCATGACTCAATGTCGGAGTCGCTGTCACATTCAACATCTTCAGGCTGAATTGGAGGGCTATTTTGGCAGTTATCTCCATTGCACGTTCCACAGGTGCTATTACAAAACAGACCAACTTATCTGCATCCGCAAGACGCTCCACATCCTTTTTTGCAGTTGCAAAAAATCATTTTCAGCAGTTCTTGTGGTGCGGGTGGATCTACAGACTTAAGTGGATTTAATAAACCGTCATTCATGACCCACCCCCAATCCGTTGGATGAATGATGATGATGATGAAATGATGAAATGTGTTATATATACATATAAGAACGTTGGTATGTATTCATGCCTACGTTTCCAAAATATATGAGCCATATTATGTATATATATACACATTACAATAGTTGTGGGTCCCTATTATACTGCGTACTTTCACATTGCTCCAAATATTCACACTCCGAAATTTTCAGTTACTAAGTAGAAAAAAATATGATAAGTTTTTGGACCATAACTCCTTCAATTTTCATGCTATCACAATTTACGTAAAACCATTGTAAAGTTAATTAAGAGAGCTACAACATCCTTCATTGCAATATGTATTAAAAATCTTTTTTCTAAAACGGTGCAGGGTTAAAGGGCTTAAGAGAGGCTGTGATTGCGCTGCCACGCGCTCTTTAAACAATCATATCTCCGTAAATTTTATTTTGACAGAAAAAACAAAAAAACCAAATTGTTTTTCAGAAAAATACCTAATTTTTAAAATCGTACACTTTTATACGTATCTGTCGTCATTTTGAGATATTATAAAAAAAAAGTGGGTTTTTTAAAAATTTGAAATTTTGGTTTTTCTTTTAATCGTGACTTTTTTGAAAAATATGTGTCCTGAAGCAGCCAAACTGATACTATCTATTGGAATACGATTAATTTTAATTTTGGTGGAAATGGCACTTATGAAACCCATTGATTTAAAAGAAAAAACATTAGATGCTCCCCTTATTTGCAATACAGCTCACTTATTTTACGTGCAAAAGATTTTTAATAGTGCTCATTTTAAAGCTTATTTCAAGCACTACAAAACCCTTTTATATTAGAATGCATAAAATGCATCTGCTCGCCGCTAGATGGCATTGACCACATCGATTAAATTTCAGACAAAATAAAAAACGGTTTTGATCTTTAATATCTAGCTTAATATTGCACTTAGAATACTTTATAAAAAATCAAATTGTTCATTGTTTTACCTGCTACAATTTTGTTTTTATAAAATTTTCGATAAAACTTATATTTTTGGAGATATTTGTAAAAAACCGATGAAAAACGGGAAAAAATTTCGAATTTTCAATTGCCAATAAATTGAAAAGTATTGGATTTTTTGAAAAACTTTATAGATGATTTTTTGCTTAAAATTAGGTTTTCTATCGATATCCGAGGTTATTTGGAAAAAAAAATCACCCCCGAGAAGGGGTGGCAACCACCCCCAGGGTGGTTGCGGAGTTCAAATCATTTTCAATCAATCAATTCGGTTCACAGTAAAAAAATTCGGAGGAATAATGCTTCAATGACTGCACTATGAGTGTGTAATGAATGGTCAATGCACACGAGTTGCATGCGACGTTTTGCAACACAGTTGCGAGGAAAAAAACAAACTTGTTTTGTTAGTAAATTTTGTACAGTTCAACTAATCTTTGTAGCCATATCTGACTATCCGGAGCTTCTTTAAAAAACTTTCAACATCGATTTGTGACTTTTGACTTTCTATCAATATATCGTTAAAAAAGTCTCTTTTGAAATGCCGTGAAGTTACTATATGTTTATATACCAACTTAAATTTTGGTCTTTTTAACATGGAGCTGGGCTTGTATTTATTTGTCAGTTCATTGAAATACGCTAAAAATAAGTTCTCCTAATATGACTTGGCAATTTTGCTGTTTTCCACTGATTGGAACTTTCGTAAGCCACTAGGTAATTTTCTCTGGATTTTGGCGTCAACAGCTTATCATTACGTTTTGTGCCTCAGTAAGTATTTCCAGCGGGATTAAATCAATATTTTGCTCGTCTTCAAAATTTGAGGTTGACGTTTTTGATAGAAATTAACGACACAGCAGCAACTTTGCCAAATATTTACGAAAATGGCGCGTACCCACCCATATCCATACTGCCTCGCGCTCTCCAGCCAGCTCTCCTCTGCCACCTACATGCTTATATGGCAAGGGGTTGGAACTATCAAGTGTCTGGCTAATGAGAAAACATCATCTACTTATTACCCTGGTGTTATTTATAAAAATCAGCTTGTATACTATAACGTAAGTAAAATTATAATTTTATGAACATTAAGGGTGTCTGGCAAGGGGTTGCCACGATGTTGTCTGGCAATGAATAACGTGATTTTAATAATATTCTAAAGGTAATACCAAAAAATTGTACTTTATTAATTTGATGTATTTAGATCGGTATTTTACACATCTTTAGTGACGTTTACCTGCCAAAGCCACTGTAACCCAAACTTCATAATGATCCATCGTTCTTACTTGTGTTGGGAGCATGCGCTGACAAACTTTCAGCTTTTATAAAATAACGTAGGTCTGGGGTTCACGGGCTCTTAGACTATACGCTAGTGTAAAAAGGATGTAGTTTGAGCCAAAATTCGGTATTTAAAAAGAACCTTTCTATCACGCGTGTCTCTGGCGTGCTAATCTACCGTTTTAAGGGCACCATTGTTTTATTTTTATATTTGTAAATATAACTAAAATTAGTACTTAATAATCAAGACCTTCATAGAAATTGCATAGAAATATCATGAATGTGATAAGAAATATGCACCCAATATATATGTTATTTAATTTATCTAAAGATATAAACAATACTTGTATGTATGTCTTGTGTGCTAGCTAAAGAATCTTAATATTTCATTGAACCCAAGGCGACTATGTGAGCTACCAAGTGAAATACAAAAATATTTATTTGCATTCAGAATACCTTTACAATATTCTTTGTGAAGGAATTAACTATATAAGGTTTTCTAACCATGATAGAAACATAATAGCAAAAGGAGATTGGGAAATTTAGTATGGAGCTTGGGGACAAACTAAAGATTTTTGTACATCAATCAAATAAGCTTAAAAATATTGCTTATATTTAATACTTTTAGGACTTTTTTATTTCTTCAAAATCCGTACTCTCTGAGCAAAGTTATTGGACTTTAAAGAAATATATCTACATAATCTCTTTTTACGATCCCCGCTACTATGCAACTACTCTAATCTTAATATTACCTACATACACACAGATAATCACGCTCATAATCCTAAAGGGTTTGAGCAGTGCTGCAGGTAACATTTGTTTACACATTTTATTATTTAGCATTACATCATTAGCATCAATTTACACGGCAAGAGAAATCGACTGACTGACAGATCTGAGTTCTGACAGTGATCACAATGACACTGACAAACACTGTTCACATTGACAGAACAACGGTGATTTTTCCGAAACATATTGCTGGAACAACGAGTAGGTATACATTCTTTTATTTAAGGATTTTTTGTTTTAATCGTTTTTTGTAAATAAATCGTAGTCACACGAATAATATGTTATATTATTCTTTGTACATGTATTTTCGTATCTTGGACTAGTTCTAACAATGTTAATAACATTAATAGGTTAACATTGGAAATCTAAGTTAACGTTTCGGAACGCGGGATCCGGATATCGCTTGGGGTGGCGAGACGACCGACGTCCCGTATAGCAACCGGCCACCAAGCACCGGGTGGCTTTATCACATAGGAATTCATCAAATCATTCTACATTTTAAAAATATCGCATATTTTTCTGTGAATATGAAAATTGCTGAAATTTGGTATTCAGTCATCAATAAATAAAAATTGCTTAAATTTGGTATTCAGTTATCTAATATAACGATTTTTGGCAGTAATTTCATTAGTGTACAATTGAGAGATAAAAATCCCTAAAATGCCCAATCTCCTTTGAATATTGTTTAATAGACATCTTCTGACAAAAAATAAGATCCTACCTGACTCTATAGATCTACCCACGATAAAAAAAGTTTAAGAAGTCTTCCGACACGTGAAGCTAAATCCATTCAGTAAATAATAAAATGATAAGTGAACACACCGTTAATACATTCAGTTAATGTATTATTTACAATTAATGTTTTAGCAATATACACGTTAGCAATAAATACATCTTTACATGTTTGTTACGTGCTTACCATCTTTTCCTAGTGCGTTAAAAAAGACTGCGTTTTTGTTCCAATGACTTCAATGATAAACGTAATTTAACATTATCCCACCGTTTAATGTATGATGAAAAAGTTATTGGTTAACTAAGGTAAGCGAAATGAAGCGTGTGACTATATATTATGAATAATATTGAACTTTTTTTTTTCAAATAAAATAAGTCATTCTGATTAAAAATATAATGCAAATATAAATAACAAAAGTATTCTATGAAAGTAAAATAACAGGATGTACATCAAATACTATAGAATGTAATACAAAAACAACAACAAATAAAAAACGTTTTTTTTTGTGCTCATGAAATAATATTTCTACCAGGATTTAACTTTTGAAGCAGCAGGCACGACTCGAGGATAAATAGGAGCATATTTTTAATCAGAACAAACGCGTTAGTGATGATTAATGTAACATTGTTAGTAATGATTAATAAAATGTATGTTATGTCCAAGCGTACATACATGCCCTCAATGAGTGATTATAAAAGTTCACGTACCGTATGTTATAAAGTAAACATACTAAGGGCTTATACTCTATCAGGTACGTTCAGTGTTGGGGACTACCCTCCAAACCATGAGGTGGGAGGCGGAGTCCCTGTCGTCCGCATGCTCTTCTAACAAACAAAACAAATCTACAAAACAAAATGTACGTCGAACCTCGTCGACTGTTAGGGGATGATAAAATGGAACAAATCATGATAGTATTTAGTCTAAGCTACCGCTATTTATGATTCGCGCAAATAATCATATGACCACAGAAAAGAATAACTAAAGCGTACAAAGTAGTGTAGTCTTTTATGTTGCGTTGTTTTTAGGCAACTATGCAATAGAGTTGCAAGCTCTTTTAGTTCAAAATATCAATGGCGACGGACAGTAAACATAAATTATCGAATCATTTAATAGCGGAGTCGTGTAATGTAATTCGTTGTAAGTAAGCGATGACGGTCGTGTAGATGTTCCCTTCGTACGTTTTAGACACATGAATCAAAGTTATATCTGCACCTGTAATTCAAATCAAACAATAGGCACAAATAGTAATGGCGCTCCGAGCCAACAGCCTCGTCTTAACACTATACTAATGTAGACACCTTTCCTAAGAAGCTCAACGGAATACGTACAGACAAAGAGATTGGTGCTCAGCAATTTTGAAGCGATAATCGCTTGCTCTCGGTTTCGGCAGTGATCAAAACATATTTAAAATATCAGTGTTACTAAAAGTAAACGCAAATATATACTGTTCGATCGAAATCATATTGCGATGCGACGGAGTTTGTACTCCCAAACAAAAATAACCAGAAATTTATCAATTATTTTAATAATGTGGGTTGAAAAATGTAATACAGAATGTTATAATTTTTATTATTTTTAAAGCATGTAACTGCTTGATGTTTAAATCTAAAGAAAATATAACTAGAAAAAATTCCACGCGGACCAATTCGATTGCGAAGGGTGCGGGTTCGAGTCCCGTCTGCTGCCTGGTCCGCGTGGAATTTTTTCTAGTTATATTTTCTTTAGATTTAAATACAGAATGTGTTATAAAAATATAAACTAATCGCCTTAAGCAGAGAATTTATCAACATTAAACCAATATTAAGATCGAATTCAAGCGATTCTCATCTTACAGTGATAGACCAACAACTTCTTCAACTGTACTGTATAAAAATAAGCGTAAAAGCCGATGAAAATTATCATAGCACAAGCTTACGACGAACTTTTTATATGCTATAACGCTAACGTGCATATTGCTTGCTTTGATATCTTTTATCAATCACAAAACTATGAGTGATTGAATGTAATCACTTATTATAATGATAAAAAATAGCCGGCATTTGTTATTGGTACAATGCTAGACAGACTTATGAAAGCACGTTATTTTGTATCCTGTAAAGATGTAAATAAGAAACGAACAAACTCTTTAGAACTCTAACTCAAAGATATAAGGAGTATTATAAGCTTACATATAATCTTTTTATAGGTGTACATGAAATGACCCAATAATAATGCTTTTGCCGTTGAGAAATACAAGACATTAAGCCTAACAATGTACAACTTTAACGTTTGTATTAAAAATCTTTATAACAATTAGATACACTCGTACTTAATAAAATAAAAAATCTGAAACTTAAATAATAAAATAGTATATCTTATTAAAGTCCCAATTAAAGTTACGGCAAAATTTATTCAATGATTTCGAAAATATAATAGCACCCTTGCCTTGAACTGAGGCTGAAAAGTCTCTTATTTTTGCACATTACAATAGTTACATAAACCACAAAAGATCAAAATATGTTTTCGTGAGGTTCTCAGATAATTTCGCCTTTTATTATTATATTTGTGTTTGCTTAAGTAGAATTCCAAACAAAGATTTTATTACCATCCTTATTGGAAAACTACAAAAATGTATTCTATACGTGAAAACTAGAATTTTTAAAATTACTTAGATTATATTTAGTAGCTATAGGTTCTTTAATGTCTATATGTAAAAAACTATAATTTGCTTACTGTTTCCCATTTACAATATTTACCTATTTAAGTTTTAGTTTTTTAGCTGTTAATTTTTCATAAAATATTATATCTATTGGGTCGTTTCACGAAGTGATTACACACTTACCTATTCTGAAGTCGATGTACCCCTCGCCGCCGGATATGACGAGCATGGGCGGCGTTGACGGCGAGTGCGGCGGCGACTCCGGCGTGCGCGGCGAGCCCGGCGACTCCGGCGCGCCCGGCACCGCCACGAAGAATGTGACCGCATCGCGATGACCGTGGAAGCTAAGCTGCGCGTGTGCCATGGAGCACCACGGTATCGAGCTCGTGGTGGGGCTGGCCGAACGCGCGCGCACTAGCGTCGCGTGGCCTGACACCACAATAATAACGAACGATATAGGGGAAACCACCCAATCATTGGCACTCGTCCTATTATTGGCACTTTGACTTTAATTCGAAAAAAACAAGGAGACAATAGATTATTCAAGGTCGTTACATATTAAAAAGAAAAACCTAGTATGGTTACGAAATTTGAAAATTGGCAGCATTATTCCTACAATCTATTGTTTCCTGTTTATTTCGAACTAAACTCAAAAGTGCCAATAATAGGAAGAGTGCCAATGATTGGGTAGTTTATATATAATTGTACTAGGAGGAGCTCGATGGCGAAAGTGGTTAGCGCGTTTGGCTGCGATCGTTGAAGTTAAGCAACTTTCGCAGTGGTCGGTCATTGGATTGGTGACCAAAAATATACTATCCCACCCACCAATCCGCACTGGGCCCGCGTGATGGGTCATAGCCCAATCTCCCTTTTCCATCCATAGGGAAGGCCTGTGCCCCAGCAGTGGGGACATTAATAGGCTAATGATGATGATGATGATATATAATAGAAAGTGACCATGACGCAATATCTATGGACGCTAAGTGTGTGCCATGAAGCACTACGGCATCGAGCCCGTCTCCACCAGCCCCACCGGCCGAGGTGACACCACAATAATAACGAAACAAGATAAGTATATAGTCGCCGTATGTCGCGATAACAATAATAAACATTAAATTGTCCTTGGAAACAGTTAAAGCCAATTTACAGTCTGCCCGAGCTAATTTGCAACACTACAATAAGGGAGAAAATATTCACCTGGCACATTGCGGGCAGGGGGGGGTGGCGCCCCCGTCGAGTCTTTACTGGAGCCTTCGCTCAGAGGCACGGATATGACCACACCGTTGCTAGTGCCGATCCATAGTCTCCCCGAACTGATCAACAATGCCGTAATGCGGACCAGGGAGAAACCCAGCTTGCCAGTGCCGAGCATCTTGCTCACGTACGGCTCGATGTCGACGTCTTTCAAGTGTTGGTACGTATGCGCGTGGAACAGCCGCAAAGTCGAATCCATTTTTATTGATACCTGTTGGTATGGCACGGCAGATCTTATAGGAAGCAGTGATTTATATTTAAATATATATATATGCATAAATTAATTGATACGCCCGCATCCTGATGAGGCCACAGACGATTGATTCTCAATTTTTAACAATTCATAACTGATAATACATTATTGCCTAAACCATATATAAGCATCTACTTTAACAGAAAATTAAAACAATTATACCTGGCTAATTATATTCTTCATCGGATAAGATTACACATTTTACAATTCGAATGAACTTTTAAAAAAATATAGTAAAGTAGGGTTTTGAGCCTTTTCCCTTGTCCGTAAAAAAATTAGCTACTAAAACAATCTATAATTACATACCCAAACCCCGTCGCCGTCGCAAGCCATCTGTCTCACTTGACTCTCGTGCCTGGGATGAGCTTCCAGTGTATGCAGAAGGGATCGAGATCGCGGCTCAACCACGTGCACTTTGTTACGATAGCCGCACCAAACTGTGCAGCCCACAGCGCTGAGGCAACGCACTGTACCGAATAATGATATTTCGTGTTAAAATTGACCGTGGTCTTCTCTGTCTTCTTTTTAACAAACAAAAGAGACAGCATTAGTTTTAGCCAAGGTTTAACTTTAGTCTACGGTCTGTTATAATTCGGTATGTGTCTAAAAAAATACTTGTAGGTACAGGCATTTTAAAAGCTCGCTATTTTGGCGCACTTAGTGTGATCATTGTTCATATCAACAAAACAAGTTGATAGTCAGATAAGAGTTTGGGTGCACACGCACTACGGGCTCGCAATAGGTCTCGTCCACTTTAACATATCCTGTGAATTTTTGATGTATTCAATCAAATGATATCTTATTGATGGTAACAATATTTGATTTATACAAATAAAATTCTTACATTAAGTTCCACTTGCAGAAATTTTACCAAATCTCAATTTAACTTGCCCATACAATAATGTCAATTTGACATTTTTCTATGGATTAAAGCTAGTTTTCATTAAATCTTGAACTAGCGATATTGCTGCAAGTTGAACTAAGTAAAAAATGATTGTTTTATTAAGAAGAGCCATTTCTGGTTTATTTTATAAAAATACGTAAACTCACCCGAACATTTGGGATCGCCCAGGGTCAGCGACCAGTACTGAGTGAAGTCCCATTGTCCATCAGCCTGCCGCGCGAATATCGCCACCGTGCCATCGGCTAACGCGACCATACACCGCGATGCGCACGCGACGATGGACAAGATCGCATCGTTCAACTTCACCCTGAAAACACAAACCCATTCCACATTGTTACAAAATGTTGACTAAAGTTAAAGCCAGTCTAAGAATGATGCTGTCGCCTTTGTTTGCTAAAAAGAAGACAGAGCCACACTATGTAAGCCAAGTTCAAATTTAGTCCACGTTTTAAGAATAAGGCAAAATGTAAAGCAAACTGTAAATGTAAAATAATCAATCGCTTTTCCAACAATAAAATGGATGGATTGGGGAGGACAAACAGTTAAACAATAAGGGCCCAGGGGTATATCATTTTCTTAGAGCTACTTATTATCTCTACGAAATCTCTTGCCGGTTCATCTCTTTAAAAGACTATTTTCTAATAGCAAAAGTACAAGCATGTCTAAAAAAAGAGAGCACACGACATTTGCATCTCTATAGCCTTTTAATGAGATGATCCGACACGAGATTTTGTCCTTATTGCATGTATTTTCACTATATTTAATTTAAGTGCGTTAATTTATAAAAGAAAATGCAAATAAGCACGTCGCTCTACGTAAAAAATGATCGAAGCGAAAATTTTTAGAGATCTACAGGGTAGAGAATGCGGTCAGGGTAGGCAACAGAGTAAGTGATACTTTGATATACCTAACGTCTTTAGGCTATGGCGGTTGTCAACCATCAGGCGATTATATACTAATGTGATCCTAATTTACAATTATTTTTAAAGTGAGATATCTCCTTGTCCTGTTCCATGTAGACGCGGGTAACTGACCTCACAAGAAACTTGCTGTAGTTCACGCCGGCGGAGTGCACGTAGAGGTTGCCGCTCTTGGTGCCCAGCCACATGGTCGCCATCACAGTGGACATCTGCCTGTCCTGTATCGTGTAGACGCGGGTTACTGACCTCACAAGGCACTTGCTGTAGTTCCCGCAGGCGGAGTGCACATAGAGGTTGCCGCTCTTGGTGCCCAGCCACATGGTCGCCATCACAGTGGACATCTTCCTGTCTTGGGCGACGTCCGCGCGACTCTCAGCGTTAGATTGTTCTTGAGCAAACGCGTCTACAGCCGGCTCCGGCGAACTGGGACGATCGTTTGTCGCTGTGGGACGGATAAAACAGAATATTTTTTTGCCAGCACTGAGAGAGAAATTAATTAGCTTTAAGTTTGTTGAAAGTTCATGTTGCCACTTTTTTATAGAGTTATATAACGATGATGAAGTCTTAAATTTGATTAATGACTAGGCAGGCGATAGGACAAATTTTTCAATACTCTGATAAAAGTTATTCGACACATTGAAATGGTTTTGCCCAGTTTTGTCATAATGTCATTTTGAGTATTACAGTTAATGAATAAAAAATTATACCGTTGACAGGGGTAGAGCTAAGGGGCGGGCTCTCTGGTGCGACCGTATCCGCTTCTTCTACGTCTTTGGGCGTGGCCTCCTTGGGAACGGTGGCTTCAGACGGAGGCTCCGGTTCTTTGACCGGCGTGCTGGGAGGCGTAAGAAGTGTCGCTTGAACCTGCCAAGGAGAATGAAATGAAATGAAATTAGACTTTATTCATATTGACTTATTGAAAGCTCTTTTGATTCGTCCAATATTTTTACCTGCCACCCGTTCAGGACATCTTATATCTGATGAGAAGAATGGACGCAAGAAACTCATCAGCACTTTACAATAGAAACAACATTTACATAAAATCATGTCGCTGCCAATACAACGTCCACTCACATATTGATTGCTGTGTCATGCAGTATTAATACAAAATATAGTGGTTTTTATATTAGGTATAGTTAGATAACATTACGATCATTATTTATATAGTAGTTAGAACAGACTCATCTCCGCTGGGAGCACCCGTTTACGAGCATGATGCATGAACCAGCCATCGCTTCGCTGAACCATATTTTAGGGAACGTATCGACCCGCCTCACGACGAATGTTAATCAGTATGACGTGGTGCGGGTAAGGGGGCGAAACGTACAGTTTGTCTATAAAGTCGTGACATTAAATGATGGCGCCACTAGTATGCATGTAGCAACCCTATACAGTCGGACCAAAATGATTTTGATACTAGCAGTTCATTCAAGTAAAATAGGTAATTAATAAGACACACTATACAGTCGTATTTTGTTTGTTTTATATATAGTAGGTACCTATGCTTATAAAAAGTTTAGCCAAGCATATTTAATTGAATCAGAATAAAACTATTATAGATAAAATAGTACTTTATAGTGTAAAAGTGTGTAATGTTGGTGATTACCGCTGAGGTGCCATTGAGACCAGAGCCGGTAGATAATCATCAATACAAACAAGTATCATCATACGACGTTTTTTAACACACTTGTTAAGAAAATAATACTAAAAATCATTTTATAGTATATAAAAAGTTTATTTAGAGAAACAATTTGTAAATGTGCAGATAGTAAAATTAGTGATAGGTATTTTCACTAAAAGCATCTGGCCATGGTTCTTTATGTGACCATTTCTTTCTTTGGTCGGCCTTGCCTGTTTTCCCAGGAGTTTCAAACTTTCCATCATTCTTAAAACCTTCGTTGACTATCCGACTCTTTGATTTTCCTGATAAAAGTAAAAAAATATGTAACGGAATAGTAACAATAACTTATTGACATGAAGCAATAATTCAAAATTGGTAGAAACCGAGTTGAACCATAATAACGTATCAAAAGAAATGGTCGTACTACAATATTACCTATTTACAATGTCAATCTAACCTAAAAATGTGCAATGTAAACAATGCCTTTTTTGGTCTCAAAATCGTAAATTGAGTAAATTTGTAACTTCAGGCAGATTACAAACAAATAGTCACACGATTACATACCCGTCATAGATGCTGTTCGCCTATAAACATCGTCCAAATCCCACAAAATTCGTCCAGCTTGGTAGTCTACGAAACATGGCTGGAAAACTTTAAAAATTACTTCCCGCGTGCCACTCCGATTTACTTTACTCATTTTTATACCTTTCTGCGTAGTTTCGTCTTAATTTATTACAGTTTAATCCAAACAATAAAAAATACAAAAGGAAAACTGTTCCACAACTGAAAGTCGATGACAGATGATGTACATAAGTTTGGTGTTGCCAGACACATGAATATTGTTAGTTCCTCAAACATTCATGTCACGACTTTATAGACAAACTGTACCATCTCTTCGCCCCAACTGCCAACCACACCTGCTCGTGGTACCCACTGCTGAATACAGGACGAGGTTAAGGCGACCGATAAAACGGTGATATAACCGTTTTTATTGAAATGGCCAGACTGGCTTAAACGACAGACCGATGTTGGGCAGCAGCGACACCGGTGCGAACAGTCTAGCTCTGCGAAAGAATGGAAAAGTCGCATGCCCAGCGTAGCCATTTATTGGGCATACACCTTCGATGGGAAAGACATATAAGAAACGACGGCCCCTAATCCCGCGTCGGCTTCATCGTCCACATGCCCCTCGTCAACAGCATTGTCGAAGTCGGGAGCGTAGCGAGCAGGATAGCGTACCTGATAGTCAGAATTACTGAACGGTATTAGTTGAAAGTCATACAGATTTACGCGCCGACCTCGGCACATCCTGAGGAAGTGGTAGAGGCTATGTATGAGGATATAACTAAAGTCATGCATACCTCGGCCTCGTACTACAGCGTTATGATGAGGGATTTTAAAGCAAATCTGGGCGATCGAGACGGTTTCGAGTTGAAGGTGGGTAAATTCAGGTATGGACAACGAAACCAAAGGGGCCAAATGCTGGCTGACATCATCGAGAAGGAGGGCCTCTTTATGATGAACTCCTTCTTCAAGAAGCCGCCCAGTAGTGAAGTGGACGTGGCTAAGCCCTGATGGTTCAACGAGAAATGAGATTGACTTCATCATGTCGACAAAACGGCACATATTCAATGATGTCTCAGTGATCAACAGGGTGAAAACCGGTAGTGATCACCGGATGGTAAGAAGCACATTGAATATCAGTGTTAAACAATCAAAGGTCTTGATTCGTGAAGTTAATACACCAAACCACTCGCGCACATATCCAAAACCCTAAAAGTTTCCAATTCGAATTACAGAATCGTTTCGCTTGTTTGGAAAATTGCTTATCTGTGGACAATTTAAACAACAGGTTGATGAAAACTGTCCACGAAGTGAGTTCCGAATTTTATAAGACCCACAGAACTAAAGAACACAAAAGGTTCTCTAACTACACTCTCGGGCTCATGAGAGAGGCAAAATATGAGACTACAGTCTTAAGCGGATGCGGCAGCCTACCGGCAAATTAATAAGCAGATCTCCAAGTCACATTCACGTGACCGTAGGTTCTTTAATACCGAAAGGATTAAAGATATCATAATAAAAAAAGGCACGGAGGTGTTTGCGAGAGATCTGCTTATCGGGCAGCGCCAGCTGACGCGTCCTGAGATTTTGAGGGAGGTTGATAATTTTTATGGAGTGTTATACACCTCAACACAAAAATACTGTTGATGATTTGTGTAAGAACCCCAGAGCCAAATTAACCTACCATTATACCAAAGATATCCCGGACGTCAGCCTATGCGAGATTAGTAACGCTGTCAAACAACTAAAGGACAACAAGGCGCCAGGGGTTGAAGGAATCACAGCAGAACTCCTGAAAGCGGGCGGAACACCATACGAAAAATCTTTCAGCGATTGTTCAATTCCGTCATTCACGAAGGCAAAACGCCAGAGGCATGATGGGATAGGAGCATGGTGGCACTTTTCTTCAAAAAAAAAAAGGCCAAGTGCGAGTCGGACTCGCCTATGAAGGGTTCCGTAGCAGCAAGTAACATAATATAAAAGTACTTGTAGTTCGTTGTAGCTTTGATTGATGTTTTAATAATAGTGCATTTTTTTAGATAAATTAATTTTTAAAAAAATAATTACTACATCTCATTCAAACCAATTTTCGGTGGAAGTTTGCATGGTACATCATATATTTTATTCAGTTTTATCATTCTCTTATTTTAGAAGTTACTAGGGGGGGGGGGGGGGGGACACATTTTACCACTTTGGATGTGCCTCTTGCGTAAACTATTCTGTTTAGAAAAAAAAATATATTATAAACCACAATATCATTTTTGAAGACCTATACATAAATACCCTACACGTATGGGTTTGACGGAAATACCCCCAAAATTTTTTGTTTTTTTTTTTCTATTTTTATGTGAAAATCTTAATGCGGTTCACAGAATACATCTGCTTACAAGTTGTTTTCGAGAGTGATTACGAATCGTCTCGCTAATAGGTTAGAGGACTTCCGGCCTCCCGAACAAGCCGAATTCCAGAAAGGCTTTAGCACCAAGGACCAGATCCACACTCTGCGCCAAGTGATACAAAAGATATAACCTGCCTCTATTTTTAGCGTTTGTAGACTATGAGAAAGCCTTTGATTCGGTGGAAACATAGCCTACTATGTGCAGATCCTTACAGAGATGCCGTATCGACTATCGCTATATCCAAGTTCTGAACAGTTTGTACGAAAACGCCACTATGACAGTCCGTATACAAGATCAGACTACGAGACCCATCCAACTGCAGCGAGGACTGCGACAGGGAGATGTGATCTCCCCGACGCTGTTTACTGCTGCGTTGGAAGACGTCTTTAAGCTTCTGGATTGGAGCAGATTTGGCATCAACGTCAACGGCAAGTACATCACTCACTTTCGATTTGCCGATGATATATTCGTTATGGCAGAAACTTTGGAGGATCTCAATACAATGCTCACCGACCTCAGCAGAGCCTCTCAACAAGTGGGCCTTAAAATTAATATGAGTAAGACCTAAATTATGTCTAACGCTCGAGTTCCGCTCCACTCGGTAATAGTTAGAACTCTGCACTCGAACAAATGGTCCAGTTGGACAATTCCAATTTCGAAAATGGGGTAAACCACCGAATCTATTTCGGCTAGGCAGCATTTGGGAAACTACGAGATGTTATTTCGTCCGAAATACCTCAGTGCATGAAGACCAAGGTCTTCGAACAGTGTTGCCAGTGATAACATACGGAGCTGAGACGTGGTCGTTGACTATGGGCTTCATAACAAGACTCCGGGTCGCACAGCGAGCGATGGAGAGAGCTGTGCTTGGAGTTTCTCTACTTAATCAAATCTGGAATAAGGAAATCCGTAGAAGAACTAGAACAACCGACATAGCTCAAAGGATCGCCAAGCTGAAGTAGCAATGAGTGGGGCACATAGCTCGGCGAACCGATGAACGTTGGGATCCCAAGGTGCTTCAATGGCGACCTAGCACCGGGAAGCGCAGTTTCGGTAGACCCCTCACGAGGTGAACTGACGTCATCAAGCGAGTCGGGGGGACGACCCACTGGATGCGGAGAGCGCAGGATCGTTCCATGGAAAATGGATGGATGAAATCCATGGATGGAAATCTCTTGAGGAGGCCTGTATGTCCAGCAGTGGACGTCCATCGGCTAATGATGATGATGATGATGATGATGATGAGGTGGTGAGCTGGTAAAATGAGGTGCGAGCCAAATTGATTAACGTCAATTTATTTTATAGGCTTTGTGGCTTAAATGAGACAATCAAGTTAACCTGTAAATAGTAAAATTAACACAATCAAACACGCGTATCACATCTCTTACCGTATTAAGTAAAAATCTCTCTAAACTTAGAGCAAGCGCTCTTCAGGGTGCAGTCTATGTCTACTGCAGTCTTCTCCAAAAGCCCGCGTTCGAATCCAGGTAAACATGCTAATGCACCCATTTATTTTAGTGATAATTACAAGCACTTGTTCCCTAGTGATATTACAAATCTTTGTAATAGTTTTAATTGCAACGGCAGTACTTTGGGATTAAATATTCGGTGTCTCTTTTACGACATTCCTTATTATGAACTAGGAGTTATACTCACCAGTCTAGTACTTCCAATGGCGACGTCTCTCTCGCCTCCCTCACTGTCTGAGCCTTGTAATCCATTACTAGTACTCTCTGCGGACTCGCCCATACAGAATAAAGACTGTTAACAAAACGTGTGAGATTTTTAATGTAAAGAACGTGTAATAAAAGTACGTGTGTAGATACAATTCTCAAAAAAGGGGTGTATGATTGTACGGGACGCCGGGCTGTCGCAGTAGCGGACAGTTACCGACTCGTACTGAGGAGTGGAGGAAGTTACACGCAGGAGTCTTGACTGTAGTGGACTGTAGTTTCGGCGAATAAAACCCCTGGTGTTCGGTATTGAAGAAATCGGTGGGCGCTGATAATGGATGGCCGGTGAGAGGAGGCTGATGGTCCAGAGTGAACCGCTTGGTGTTTCTTCCTGTTCCTTAGGGTAGGAGCGCCTGTCGCTGAATGCATGTCGGAGCATGTTCCGACTCCAATTTTATATGCTAGGACTGAGCTGGCCAGCGATCCATTACCTCACCCCCGCTATACTTTATTTTTCATTTTCTCAAAAATTACATAAGTGCGAGCTTAAAACTAATGGTGCATACATCGGGCATACAAAAAGGCATATTTTTAACACAGTTATGTGTCCGTAAGCATGATATTTTAGGTGTGGCGCGCAAAAAATAGGTCTCCGCAATATTTATACTTTCCCCCTCCATAGGGCTTCGCCCTGCCACGGGGCTCCGCTGCCCCACCCGCGCGCTCCGGGCGCGCCGGGTGGGGAGCGCAACATGTCTTAAAAAACCGTTCTATACAAACAGATTTTGTCTCCTACACGGTACATTTCTACATTTATTGATGTGATGCCTATTTATTTATGTAGTCCTATGCGTTATCTACCTAATACAATAAGTTTCTAATAAGAATATTAACAAATAACAGCTCTACGGCCCTATAAAGATTACAAATTAAAAAGTCTTAAAAAACCTACTTATATTCACTTAATGCCTAACTATCATATATCATTTTATAGAGGAAGTAAAAACACACAAGATAACATTATTTTCATTACAATTATACCTATATCCTATCAATTATTAGTAAAAAACTATTTCCAACATTTTCCTTAATTACGCCTCAACTACTAATATGATTTACACAAAACTTTGATATATTACTCTTATAACTACCTATTTCCTAATAAGATATAAAACAAATAAATCGAAACATAAAAACATACTATTTACGAATGCTTACAATTCAGGTAAAATCTTATAAGATGTTAGAAAAGGACAGCCTATCGTCTCTGTCCCTCCTATAGGTCGGAACTATCAATATTCTAACTAGTTTCCCCGCGCCACCGCTTGGCGTCGTGGCGATCGTTTAGACAAATTCTTATAAGATTGTTGGAGAGAAAGAGACGGAATATCGCTCTGAACTATCTAGTTTACAATCGTTTACTATGGGCAAAGCTATCTATTATTGCGATATCCGACTCATTCTAATAAGACAACAAGGGAATGATATTTTTAATTTTTATACAACCGATACATGTGAAATCATAGATACATTTTATAAATCAATCTCATATTGTCGTAAGTTCATTTCCTCTCGCTTCGGTCGTCGCGTACATACTCCCGCCGTGCAGCGTCGGTCGACTCGTCGCTGCATCCATCTTCCGTGGGAGTGGCGGCCGATGCGAATATCACCAGTCGCTTGGTCGGTCTGCGTAGCACTCCTCCGGCTGTCTTCAGATCGACGACTCGTACTGTGCCGTCTCGCCCGGGAAAAGTGGCGATGACGACTCCCTTGGGCCACGTGTTGCGTGGCAGGTTGCTGTCGGCGATGAGCACGATGTCCCCGATGGCGATGGTCTTCCCGGTCCCGTAGGGCTCCCGCCGGTGTTGCAGCTCGGGTAGGTACTCTCGTACCCAGCGCGCCCAGAAGTGGTCGGCGAGGCGCTGTGCTGCTCTCCAGTGCGGGCGGCCTATCAGATCGCTCTCGTCGAACTCGCCCGGCAGTGGGACGCGCGCTGAACCTCCCAGCAGAAAGTGGTTGGGAGTGATGGCTTCGTCGTCTTCATGGTGCACGGACACGTGGGTGAGAGGCCGGCTGTTCACGGTGCATTCGGCCTCGGCAAGTAGCGTCGTAAGTACCTCTTCGGGCGGACTTTTTTCTTGCAAAACCGCACTTAGCGCGATTTTGACGGACTTCACGAGGCGTTCCCACGCCCCGCCCATGAATGGTGCTCCCGGCGGTATGTACCTCCACCGGATACTGCGGATGCTTGCTTCTTCGCTCGTCGCCTGCTGCACTGCCTTCTTCATCTCGTTTTCTGCGCCGTGGAAGTTGGTCCCGTTGTCCGACCAAATTTCGGTAGGGCACCCGCGGCGCGCTATCAGGCGCCGTAGTGCGTGTATGGCGGAATCCGTCGATAGTGAGGCGGCCAACTCGAGGTGCACGGCTCTTGTAGTAAGACATGTGAAGAGCGCGACGTAGCGTTTTTCTTGATGCCTGCCCACGGTGACTGTCAACGGCCCAAAATAATCCAATCCGGTGTACGTGAATGGCCGTCGGTGATGAGCGAGGCGCGTCGGCGGCAAATCTCCGGTAGGTGGCGACGGTGGCGCCGCCCTCCTTATGCGGCAGTTTAAGCAACTGCTTATTATTCGCTTCGTGACGGGTCGAATGCGTAGAATCCCATAGTGTTGTCTGCACTCGTTGACTGTGGTTTCCACCCCGGCGTGGAGAAGGCTTCTATGTGTGTGTTCTATCCACAGTTGGGTGGCTCGATGGTTCCCGTCGAGTATCGCCGGTGTCTTCTGTGTTTCGGTCACTCCCGCCGCTGCGTTGACCCGGCTTCGTAGGTACAACACGCCGTCGTTGACTATTAGCGAAAGTGGGCGGAGTCGACTGTTCGTAGCGATGGTGGCGCCCCCTTGCAGTTGTTTCAACTCGTCTTGAAATGCGTCGTGTTGTATTACGCGAACTATTATTTTCTCTGCGCGTTCGGTGTATCTTCGGTCGATTGCGATGAATTTCCTTTCTTGAACTGTTGGCGTCGTTTTCTTCTTATGGGTCGGCGTCGATTTTCGATTTTTCTTCCAGTCGGGTTCCTTTTCGTTTTTCTTTCTTCTGTAGTTAATTCGGTCGGTTTTCGCTTGGCAGAGGTCGATGAACTGTAGTACTCTTGCCGTAGTCCGAATTAACTTGTCCCAGCGCGAAAATCGAGTGACGTTCGGTGCAGCTTCGGATATTGACGGCGCTCTCTTCGTGCTTATGTGGTGCACGCGTTCTTCCCCGGTGATTTCGGTTGCGGTTGCGGTTTCGGCGGGCCATTCTTCCCGCTGGTTCGATGGCGGCTCTTGCTCGGCGCATTCTTTCTCTGTGAGCGCGTCCATTTCTTCTATGTATTTTCCCCTTAGGCGTGGATCGCGGTCGATTTTCTTCTCTGTGGTGAGCAGCCGTCTGTACGCATTTTCGTAATTGTTAGGCATCTTGATGTCTTCTTTCTTCCAGAGTAGTGCGGTTTCAAATTTTCCATCTTCTTTTCTGTGGGTGTGCTCTTCTAGCATCTTGATGGCTTTCTCCTCTGGATCGGAATGCGGTTTCTTCTTTTCGATGTCGATCGATTCCAATGCGAAGTGATGACGAAGTAGTTCATCCATTTTCGTATCTTCTGTCTCTTCGGTGACGTGGTTCACGAAATGAACCCGGTGACCGATGGTGCGCGAGTCTGTGCCGTGGAGTACCCATCCCAGAGCCGTCTTCGATGCCACTAGCTGTCTTCTATTCCCCCGGCGGACTTCGCTGGCCAAGAGTAGGTGCCAGTTGTCTTGCCCGATGAGGATGGTCGGCCGGGCGTCTTCATAGGTGACGTGCTTCTCGATTCCCCGCAGGTGCTTGCAGCCCCATAAGTGTCTTTCTTCTATGGTTTGCGGTGAAATCTTCATTTTGTCGATGGTGCGTGCTTGCACCTTGAAGCCTCTGTTCTGTCCCTCGATCTTGAAAGGACCCGGCGCGACTGTGTCTCTGGCAGCTTGGCGTCGATCGTTTCTATCTTCAGTCTCTCGGTAGGCCCCTCGGCTCCTATTTTCTCGGCGGCCCTTTCTTCTATAAGTGTGACTGTAGAGCCGTCGTCCAGTAGCGCGTACGTATCAAAATGTCCGCTCGGTCCCGTAATGCGAACCGGAATTATCTTCAAGTACGCGTCTCGCTTGCGGCTGCTGTGTGTGCTGGCCACCCTCTCGGTTTCTGTGTTGCTCGTGGCTGGTTCTTCTTCACGTTGCGACTTCGGTTTGTGGAAGGTTTCGGAAGTGGGTGGTGTGAGCATTCGCAGCCGTCCCTCTCGCACGCTCGCGTCTTGCATCTGTGCATCTTGCTTCTATATTGTAAGCAACGGAAACAAAGGTTGCTTTTCTTCGCTATTTCCCATTTTCTATCTTGATCGGCGGTCTTGAACGTAAAGCAGGTGGCCGTCGAATGTCCGGATTTCTTGCATACCGGACATGGGAATCGATCTTCAGGCGCTCTTCTATTGTGTGTCGCCTCGATGTTATGCGTTCGAAATTTTCTTGTTGTGGAGTTTTCTTCATTTCCAATGTACTCCGGTGGGGCGTATCTTGCGTTATTCTCTGCCTCGACTTCGATGAACTCGGCGAAAATCAATAGTTCCGGATCCGTCTTCATTTTCTCTTGCATTCGGTGATTGTTGACGTAATCGTTCCATCTGAAGAGGATAGTCGACGGCAGCTTTTCTATAATTGTCTTCATGATGTCCGGCGCACGCAGGTACTCGTTTTGCCCCAGTACTTGTAGTGCGACGACGCTATTCTTGATCTTGTTCGCAAAAATCACGATGTTTCTCGGCGAATCGGTGAGTCGGGGTAAATGGCGCAGCTTTTCTATCTCGGTTGCGGCGATGTTGTCCGGGCGGCCGAATCTGTGCTCCAATTGCTTCATAATGTCGCCCGGCGTAGTGTTGCTTATTAGCATGCTGCCCACGGCTTCTCTTGCCTTCCCCTTGAGGGCTCTTCTCAATCTTGACGAATTTTCCGCCGACGATAGGTAGGTTGCGGATTCTAGGTACGCCGCCCTGAAGGTGAGCCATTCTGTGTGCGCGCCGCTGAAGGGTGGCAGCTCTCCGACGTAGCGTGGACCCGGCGCAGGCGGTACGGCGGCACGGACGGCGGCGTTGATTGCGACGGCCAGCTCGGAGACGTTCATTCTGTCTTGCTGGACCAGCGGTGGCGGCAACGTAGGGGCGACTTGTTCTTGAGCTTCATCAATACGGGACAGCGGACTCTTCTTAATGCATGGCTTCAGCGCCCCTGGGACTGGATCTTCGGCAAGTGGTGCGACGGACCCACCAATCTGTACGGTGTCCTCGACGGTCGGTCTTCTATACGGTTCGGTGGTGCCGCCGTCGGGGGTGGTGTCCTTTGTCGCTGTGTCCAGCCAGGTGATGACGCGTTCTTCATTCTCGGTGCCATGTGTGCTATCGGTTTCTCTTCTATCTTCTATTTGCGGGTCCTCTTGGTCCTCGTCTTCGCTATCTTGCTCTTCCATTCGTATCTTCGCCCTTATAGTCTTCTCTAATTCTTCATATAACGCCGCCAGGCGCTTCTTCTTTGCTGCTCTTCGTGCAGCTATCTTCGATTCGGTGCGGTGTGATGTCATTACAGCTGATGGCGACTTCGGCGGTTGGTCGTAGCGGGTACGGTGGCCGCGTCACGGTGTCGCTCCCTTCCGATGGCGCTCTTGACGGGGGTTGGACAGGATTCTCTCCTGCGGCGGTTCGCTCTGGCTCTTCGTTGCTTCTCTCGATGCGCTCCTCTTCGGCCTGGTCCATCTTGTCAGCTTGAGATCTTGTTCGTGGCATTTTTCTTTCTTCAATCTTCTATATTTTCTGTCTTTAATCTTCTATAATTCTATCTTCAATCTTCTATATTTGACCACGACGATCTTCTTTCTTCAATCTTCTATAATTTTTCTTCAATTCTTCCTCGACGCTGTAGATCCGGCTCGATGCGACCAAAAAATGTACGGGACGCCGGACTGTCGCAGTAGTGGACAGTTACCGACTCGTACTGAGGGGTGGAGGAAGTTACACGCAGGAGTCTTGACTGTAGTGGACTGTAGTTTCGGCGAATAAAACCCCTGGTGTTCGGTATTGAAGAAATCGGTGGGCGCTGATAATGGATGGCCGGTGAGAGGAGGCTGATGGTCCAGAGTGAACCGCTTGGTGTTTCTTCCTGTTCCTTAGGGTAGGAGCGCCTGTCGCTGAATGCATGTCGGAGCATGTTCCGACTCCAATTTTATATGCTAGGACTGAGCTGGCCAGCGATCCATTACCTCAACCCCGCTATACTTTATTTTTCATTTTCTCAAAAATTACATAAGTGCGAGCTTAAAACTAATGGTGCATACATCGGGCATACAAATAGGCATATTTTTAACACAGTTATGTATCCGTAAGCATGATATTTTAGGTGTGGCGCGCAAAAAATAGGTCTCCGCAAAATTTATACTTTCCCCCTCCATAGGGCTTCGCCCTGCCACGGGGCTCCGCTGCCCCACCCGCGCGCTCCGGGCGCGCCGGGTGGGGAGCGCAACATGTCTTAAAAAACCGTTCTATACAAACAGATTTTGTCTCCTACACGGTACATTTCTACATTTATTGATGTGATGCCTATTTATTTATGTAGTCCTATGCGTTATCTACCTAATACAATAAGTTTCTAATAAGAATATTAACAAATAACAGCTCTACGGCCCTATAAAGATTACAAATTAAAAAGTCTTAAAAAACCTACTTATATTCACTTAATGCCTAACTATCATATATCATTTTATAGAGGAAGTAAAAACACACAAGATAACATTATTTTCATTACAATTATACCTATATCCTATCAATTATTAGTAAAAAACTATTTCCAACATTTTCCTTAATTACGCCTCAACTACTAATATGATTTACACAAAACTTTGATATATTACTCTTATAACTACCTATTTCCTAATAAGATATAAAACAAATAAATCGAAACATAAAAACATACTATTTACGAATGCTTACAATTCAGGTAAAATCTTATAAGATGTTAGAAAAGGACAGCCTATCGTCTCTGTCCCTCCTATAGGTCGGAACTATCAATATTCTAACTAGTTTCCCCGCGCCACCGCTTGGCGTCGTGGCGATCGTTTAGACAAATTCTTATAAGATTGTTGGAGAGAAAGAGACGGAATATCGCTCTGAACTATCTAGTTTACAATCGTTTACTATGGGCAAAGCTATCTATTATTGCGATATCCGACTCATTCTAATAAGACAACAAGGGAATGATATTTTTAATGTGTATACAACCGATACATGTGAAATCATAGATACATTTTATAAATCAATCTCATATTGTCGTAAGTTCATTTCCTCTCGCTTCGGTCGTCGCGTACAATGATTGTGTATAAATCTAGACACGCCGCAGTGTATCAAACCAAGTTCAAGCTAATAGAAATGGCGATCATACAAGATTACACAAACATTAAGTAATTAAAGAAATTCCTTTTATTTCGCATTTCATTTTATGGTTCTGAAGGAGAGATAACTTAGTTTTCTTCATTAATTTAAATCAAAAAAAATACTTTTCTATCCGAGCACAGTTGCTCCCGACTTAGGTACAAAAAACACTGAAGAGACTGTACTTTAAGTACTTGTTTCTTTCAAATTAGCCAGCCTATTACCGATAAGTAATAAATGCGTTACCCAGACTACTATATTCAATTAAAATACATAAAAGTTACTAAGACACTGATTTTCTTCTTACCGAATGTCTTTTGGTCTCCGTTTCGCCCGACATTCTTTCTTCGTACTCTCTGTAGTCTTCTGCCATAGCACCAGGGACTGAAGCGACACACAATATGTGCTTGTCGCTGACGGGAAAAGATTCTAGCACCACCGCGGGATTGTTGGCGTCTATGATCTGTGAGCGAGGTATATATATAGGATTAGAAATCACTGTAGTAATCACCCGATATATTTTATAATGGAACGCTGATAAAAAGCCAAATATTACAGATAATAGTGGATTTTTAAAATCGTTCCATATCTTTTCTTAAATAGCGAGATTGTACTGTATATAATGCTCAAAATATGTTTCATTTAATCAAATCTTAAAAATGATAAGTATTTTCTGTATGGTACGAAGCTTTGTAAATGTGCAATCATCAAATGAAGAGCAGCTGAATGATTGTATAAGAGTAGGGTAGTTGGTAGGTGTAACTTTAAGAGCCTGCGCTGCGTTAAGCAGGAGCACGGATCGGGTGTCCTTTCCATGTGTTTGTTTCATGTTATTTCATAGAGCAGCGCTGCGTGAGGCTCGTCTCCTGCGCGGAACTGTTCTATTTAATTACATAAAAACTACACGGCGAGTTTACGCCCGCTCCATGCTCCCGCTTAATGCAGCGCAGGCTCTAAAGCTACCTGTCTGAGAAGCAACCTTCAACTTAACCATAATTATATAACCTGTTTTTTATTTATTCTTCTATGGGGGAACATCTCTAGGGAACCCATCGACCTCACCTCACCTCACACACACCGCAAATTGTTGAACTAACGTGACATGATGTCACATAACGTGACTAGTGACATAATAACGGTCAAATAACGTGACTGACGTCAACCTTTTTCGTGCGTGCAGCCGGTGTTCATCGATTTATAAGACGTTACCATGTCAAAAATGCAGATGTTTCTATTCTATCCTTGAGTACTTACCATGACTACGCCCTTCGTTTGTGTGCACGAACAGATCCACACTAGGGACGAGAGATTCTTCTCTGTTCGTTCGACGCTTAGCGTAGACTGAAGCTGCCTGTTGATTTGCTCCACTTCGGGAGAGTGGACTGATTGCGCCTTGCTCATCTCGTACGCTAAAGTAATATTGACTTATAAGGTCACGTTTGCTATTTTATAATAATCTCAATCTAAAATCATTATCATGAGTAACGATATGATTCTATAAAAATGCAGCTGAAACAAAAAAACTAGCAGTATAAAATTCAAAAGGTAATAGCCTCAATAAAACAAGGCATAATTTTAAGCAGATTTTGCTGACAAGTATATTTATACATTCCCTTGCTTATAAGAAAAAAACAAGGCATCGAAACTGGTAAGATTGTTTTTCAGTTAATTAGCTTGACCGTCGTAAACTCGACCGTCGTGATGGTCCAAGGGGCGCGGGGCGGCGCCATTGGGTGTGCACGGGTACACACGGCATTGCCATCTTCGTGTTGTTATTTCAAGTGTTAGTTTTACGAATGTATTAGTTTCTTACTCATAAATAATAGACTTTGACTTTATAATTATTATACTTTAACATAATACCTAGTCCTAGTCATAAATATTGTTACAAAGAAAAATATATTAATTTCGCCACATTTAATAGCAAATAAGAAGACATTTAACCTTTATAACATAGACTCGGTAATTCTGTGTTTGTTGTGTGTAAAGCCGTAAATTGATCTCATGTGTAGCAGATACTAGACGGTGAACGTAAACCGCTATCGGCAGCCGACAGGCTACTGATTCATTGGTCGAACGCATTGGTCGAGCGCATTCCCCTCCCGCATCCCGCAGACCATCGAGAGGGTCGACTTTACGGTGGTCAAGCTATAGTAAATGTAACAAGGCATCGAAACTTTGGCAAGCTTATTTTTCAGTTAACTAGTAACTGAAAAATAAGCTAATCAAAGTTTCGATGGCTTGTTCTTTCATTATCATTCATCATCATCATCATCATCAACAGCCCATCCTAGTCCACTGCTGGACATAGGCCTCTCCAATTGCACGCCACTCAGATCGATCTTGGGCTACTCGCATCCAGCTCCTGCCAGCCACCTTGCGCAAATCGTCACTCCATCGTGCCTGAGGACGTCCTACACTACGTTTGCCTAGACGCGGTCTCCACTCCAGAACTCGTCTACCCCAACGGTTATCGGTTCTTCGGCAAATATGGCCAGCCCACTGCCACTTCAACTTGCTAATCCGGTGGGCTATGTCGATAACTCTGGTTCTCTGTCGGATTACCTCATTTCTGATGCGATCCTTCAGAGAAACGCCGAGCATAGCCCTTTCCATAGCGCGCTGAGCGACTTTGAACCTGTGGACCAGGCGTACCGTCAGTGTCCACGTCTCGGCTCCGTATGTCATCACAGGTAGGACGCACTGATTGAAGACTTTCGTCTTAAGGCACTGTGGGATCGACGATGTCAGGACTTGACGTAGCTTCCCAAACGCTGCCCAACCTAGCTGAACTCTTCTATTCACCTCGTCCTCAAAGTTGTTTCTACCTAACTGCAATGTCTGCCCGAGGTATACATATTTTTGAACAACTTCGAGAACGGCACCGTGTATTGCAATCGGTTCCGGTAGAACATGTTCATTGAACATGACCTTGGTTTTATCCAAGTTCATCCGTAGGCCGATGCGTATAGAAGAGTCAGCCAGGTCATTCAGCATCTGTTGTAGGTCCTGCAGGGTTTCTGCCATGATGACGATGTCGTCTGCAAATCGCAAGTGAGAGATGCGTTCGCCATTTATGTTGATGCCATGTCCTTTCCAGTTCAGCGTCTTGAACATATCCTCCATTGCATTAGTGAACAATTTCGGGGAAATAACGTCCCCTTGTCTCACTCCACGATGCAACGGTATGGGACTTGTTTGCTGATTCTGTACTTGGACAGACATGGTGGCGGCTTCGTAGAGACATCTTATCACTTGGATGTATCGCCAGTCGACTTGGCAACGCTGCAGGGACTCCAGGACAGACCAGATTTCAATCGAGTCAAAGGCCTTCTCATAGTCCACAAATGCTAGGCACAGGGGCTGATTGTACTCCTCAGTCTTCTGTATAATCTGCCGCACTGTGTGGATGTGGTCTATGGTGCCGTATCCGCTCCGAAACCCAGCCTGTTCCGGTGGTTGGAAGTCATCAAGTCTTCGCGCAAGACGGTTCGTGATCACTCTTGAGAACAGCTTATAGACGTGGCTTAGAAGGGATATGGGTCGATAGTTCTTAAGTAGCGTCTTATCCCCTTTTTTAAAGAACAAGACGACCACACTCCTACTCCACGCCTCCGGAGTTCTCCCTTCGAACAGGACAGTGTTAAAAAGCTTTTGGAGCTCCCCCAGTACGGGTTTACCTCCAGCCTTCAGGAGTTCTTTTGTAACACCATCCTCTCCAGGGGCTTTTCCATTTTTAAGCTGTCCAAGAGCAATCTCGATTTCGCCAATACTGACTTCTGGCAGGTCTTCAGTGAAGTGGCGTGTTAATGTGGCTCTAGAATCCTCATTTCCGGGATCGGGTCGAGATGCATGTGATGCGTATAACTGGCTGTAGAAGTCTTCCACTTCCGAAAGGACTGCCGGCTTTGAAGCAACAACTTCCCCACTTGCTGTGGTCAGCTTCGTCAGATGGTTTCTTCCAAGAGATTGTACGAACACTTTGGAACCTCGATTCTGCTCTATCGCTCTTTCGATCGAGAGAGTATTGTAGCACCGGAGGTCGTGTCGTACGTGCTTACTGATCTCTTGGTTTAGAGTCCGCTTTGCCGACGAAGTGACGGGTGGATTTTCACGTCGTTCCTTCATTAACCCTAAAGTCTCTTCCGAAAGCTTTGACTTCCTGCCCTTACGCTGTGTTGCACATAATCTCGTACCCTCTTCCCTGAGGATCCGAACCACATTTTCAAGGTTTTGGTTTACGTCTGATGTGGTTTCCACGGCAGCAAATCGGTTCTCCAGATTTGACTGGAACGTTTCAGATCCTGTTATAGATTGGAGCAGAGTAGGTCGGAGCCTGGATTTCATCAAACGGACGCGCTCGGCCTTAAAGTTGATATTCAGAGAGCCCCGGACGAGTCGGTGATCACTACCGGTATTGAACCTATTGATCACAGAGACGTCTCTGAATATATACCTCTTGTCCGTCATGATGAAATCGATCTCATTTTTAGTCATAGTGTCGGGGCTTTGCCACGTCCACTTCCTTTGGGACTGTTTCTTGAAGTCTTCTTCATTATCATTAATATGTAACAACTTTTTACTGTTTTTTTTTACCATGTGAATGTATAAATAATCTTGTCAGCGAAATCTGCAATAAATCATGCCAGGAAGCTATTATTTTTTGAATATCGTACTTCATTCCTTATATTTCGGTTTATATTAGAAGATGAATGATTATCGAGAATAACCGTGAGACCCAACTCACCTAAGCACATGGTGTTTTCTGGTTTGTCGTCGTAGAACACGCTCTCGCCGACCATACAGCCTCCGTCGGGCGTAAGGCCGCCGTTCAGATTCACACCGGCGGCACACAGTAGCGTCATACGTGGCTCGGTTTCTGCTATCGGTCTATATACATACAGGTGAAAATATAGTATCAAAAACAAAACTTATTATAATATCTCATAGATTCGTAATGAGAGTCCAAATTATAAAGATTACGTCCTCCTTGCGTACGTGCTCCCGCACCTGCGGGTGTCGCTACATACAATAATAATATTATGATACTCACCTACAGAACACAGGCACTGGTACCGGTACGCCCGCCGACGACATCGACGTACAAGGGCTCGGTCCCTTCTGGCTCTGACCGCTCTTGCCCGGCAGGCTCCAGCCGTACGCCTGCATGCGACCGTCCTCCTTGCGTACGTGCGCCCGCACCTGCGGGTGTCGCTACGTACAATAATAACAAGGACAGGAGAAACTGAGCCCTATTATCAAATTATTGACACCTCAATTCATACAGTCAGTGTACTAAAAACTAATGTGCAAATAGAAATTTCTACTTTGAACAACAGTTTGCTAAGGTTTTTGAATTTTGTAATCATGAGCAGTTTTCCTACATTTGTTCGGCTTTTAGTTTTAGTAATTTATAAAAAAGCGTATTAAATATTAAAAATAAAACAATCATTGAACTTTTAGGCAAAATAGTATTTATTTTAAAAGATATAAGTCTAATATAAAGACCGAGATAAGACAGAAACTGAAAAAAGTATTACGTTATAATTCTTACCTTAATTGTTTACTCTTGGTATACGTATTGAGACCTAACAATATTTATTTCGTTTACATTTTCGAATTACATTTGTCGCCGTAACATCACAATTTCATATCAAGATTGTCACCGGAAATCGTATTTATTATCGAGAACTCGCAATACGAATATGATAATAATAATCACCATAATTTATGCAAAACTCTTTTTTTTTCAAACCACATTGCAAAAAAGTAATATAACTTCGGATAAGCATCAAATAATCAATTAATCAGAATTCATTTTTTCGATGGTTTGGTTAGTATTACAATTGTATTCTCGCTTTTATTCAATTTATAAATATGAATAAAATTATTCTTGTAAATATTAACAGCATATGAATATGTATTTCAATCTATAATAATGGTTAACTGTAGTACATTTTAAAGTAAACAATTTTGACATTTCTTAATCATAGTTGTATTATTAGATTATTATAATTCTAACCAATACTTCACTTCACTTGTCTTATTTGTTTTTTGTATGTTTAACAGCAGTGTAAATGTCCTCATCATGCTCTAAGGAGTAAAAAGGTGTGTCTGCTGTTGTCACATTTACAAATAGCAAATAATTCCCTTATGAAGAACCAACAATAAAAATGGAACATATTTTAAATGGCAACTACACAATCATGCAAGGACATAACTACACAAAACAAAAACACATTGACATAAAATAATATTTAATTTATAAAGCGATAACAAATTCATCTAAAACCATATTTTCACTTTTAACACCACATATGTCATTGCAGTAACGCATTTATAATATAATATTCTTAAGACTGGTAAATAACTAAATATAAAATTCTTTGAAGGACTTCACTCTTTCAACTGAAAACAAAGAAAGGAGAAGGAGTTAGGTTCTAGGAGAGGACAGACAAAATTATAACACAAAATAAATTATTCACATTATACAAAACACAAGCACACACACACACACAACCACTTCGTGAGGATGGAATAACGCTTAAATAAATTATAAAGCTGCCGGAATAATAATCACAACACTAACTGTAATCTGATAACATTCACTTTAATATATATCACAGAAGAGCCTCCGACATTTTAAAATATTCAAAATACTTTTGTTAATGAAACCGCACTAACACTTGAGTTTAATAAAAAAAGAGTCGTTACTAATTCATTAGAAATTCGTGGAAAGATATCTTTAAATAATACTTAAATCATAATATAGAAATTGATATACCTACGACAGTAAGCATTAGTATTATAAAGCTGGAGTAACGGTGCTCCTAAGGTGCCAATGTTTACCAGTTTAAAGGTGTTTTAATTCTTATAGCAACCCTCCGAATGCCAAGTACGGTTTACTGACCAAATTTAATAAGAGCCGTTTCAATTCTAAATTGCTTTAAATTTAAACTAATTTAACTCAACTAACAGTGTTTCAAAAATTTCGTTTTATTACAAAACGTACTGGTAAATATAATGAAGTGCCAATATTGACAATACATTTCAGTAATTCAGTAAATTGTGCTCTTTTGGAAGCCGGGATTTAAATTCATTCAAATCAACTAATAGTGTTTCACAAGTTTCGTTTTATTACAAAGTATACTGGTAAATATGATGAGGTGCCAATAGCGACAATACATTTCAATAATTCAGTAAATTGTGCTTCTTTGGGAGCCGGCACAGAAACTCGCAGTTACTGTATGAAAAATAGTGTAGGTAAATACCGCATCAAAATTATGGTGTGTTATAAATATATATTCAATTATTTGATTGTATTATTTTACGTTGTTTAGTCTTTTTTTATTATTTTAATATACAAACGGCGGACGCATTAATGGTGATAAAAATGACCAGAGGATCTCAAATAGAATAACTGCGCGTTTAAATATTGTTCATAATATATCATTCATTCAAATTATATAATGATACCTAAGAGATTAAATATCAAATGAACAGAACTTATTATGAAGAGAAATATTTTATTTGACAGATTTGTATGATAATGCAGATAACTTAGATGAAAAGTCTTTTACATTTTTTCTGCTATTAATTCACAAATGAAACATATTTTTAGATATTTTCACAAGTATTGCTATTTTAGACCCTTTAGCTTACACGGCAGTATCATTCGTGCAGTTTTATTATAAAATCGAACCCCTACCCCGTAAAGCATTGAAATCTAAAGCTAGATTTTTAAATTACAAAATTAAATCAAACGTGAAAACGGAAAAAGCATTCGACAGTAAACGTCGTCACCACGAAAAGCTGTCAATTTTAAAACTAAAGAACCTTATCTTTTTATTGTTTGAATTTCAGTTTAAAAATCAGGGAAAATAACAATCAACCTGTACATAAAGCGAAAATATAATCCGACTAAACAGAATTACTCGTTAGTCAGGATCGACCCATATATTGCTTCAAGTATTTTTAAATTGGTTAACTCAGAAATTTGCAATTACTTTGTTTTTATTATTCAATAGAAGGTCTTCGTTTTATAATTTACTTCTTAACGTGACGACGACTATTATTCTAATCAAAAGAGTAAGACATACTTGTCGGAACTGCTCGCTCCTTTCATGTCGTCTGTGGTGCGTATCTGACAGTTGCGTTTCGATGAAGTCCGCTTGCGTACGCGAATGTCGCATCTGCGGTTGGGCGACTGCGACAGCGCGAAGATGCGGCGTGGACAGCGGCCGCTGGGGCCTCTCGCTGGTACTGTTGAAATGAGTTATAATTTAAGAAAATGTGAAAATATAGGAATTACAGTGCAACCAAAATTCATAGAAAATCTGGAGATTAACATGTTCACAGCGACATAGATCAAAACAACGACATAGCGTGACGGAATATCGTTTGTACGTATATTCTGAACAGCAGCATTTCTAAGCAAAATCGTAACAGGAAACGTTAAATCTAGTATGCTGATACTTTTATCGCATCAAGTAATAAGTAATAGTAGTTAGTCCCAGCATTGACCAAAAAAAAACATTATGTATATTGATTGAGGGGTGTAGGCAACGATATTAACATACCCTAGATACACCAACACAAACAAAATCGTGCCCGAAACCTGTCCAAAAGGTACATTGGACGATCCACGTAGCTCCACGTATGATCGCGTTGTCAAAACAATATAAGACATTATCTAAACATGGAAAGTCACCTTTAATGCCTACTGTACAAGGTCTTAATTAAAACGCATTCGTCAAAGAGTTGTGACAGTTCGAAACGCAAGTTCGTAAAATTTTACGACTTATTGCTGTATGTATATTGGTCTATATTGCTTCAATATAGACCTATTTATTTGACTCTAGGCACAATTTTGAATGCCCTGTTAGCAATACAGCGGGCACGGAGCGCGAGGAAAAGAGATGGCTGTATAACCGACCATGCATTTGAATATCACAAATATTTCTATTAAATCAGTTTAAAGTAAGTATTAGAACAAAATTTGCTTCAAATGAGTTAAATTAACTATCATTGATTAGATACCTGTCGAAAAAACGACACTTCACATACTATAAAATTTTTTTTCGCATTTTTTCACGGAGCTCTGCGGCAACTTGACTTTTCAACGATCCGCGCGTGACTGTGAACCAAGAAGAGCTTGAGTGGCGTTCAAGCACTTCTTGATTGGGACACATTTCGAGCGCACGTGGTGTATCTAGGGTATTTAATATCGTTGCGTGTAGGCCTTAGCAATATACAAGGTCAAACATAAAAATAGAAGCCCTCAAAGGACCAACATATAACATAATCTCGCTTGGCTAAGGTGAACAGTTTCTGTTATTGGGCTTTTTTACACGTAACCTTTCGTGAAAAATGTTCTTACTGACAGTACAGACCGCATGATAATTTGTCAGTAGTTTTTGAGATCATCACAAACGTACAAATAGAGGAACTCAGATGGTTACAACATTTTATAAATAAGTTTAATAATGACAATACAAATACACTGTTTTCATTATAAACAAATAGCGGCCACCTACTACTTTGTCCGCGATAACTTTGGTTTTTTTTTATCCTACAGGAACCAAACATTTATTCGGAACGCAAAGTATCTTTCAATCCAGGTCATAAAGTATATGCATACCAAGTTACACTCAAATCCATCAGTACTTTTTGCGTGATTGAGTAACAAACATACAAACATTCAAAGTAACAAACTTTAACATTTATAATATTAGTAGGAAGATAATAGTTAAAGGCAACACAACACTTAAAAATACATCAATCGTCTATATATAAAAATGGCGATATTCGCTAGGTAGTCCAAATTGCTATCGTGGTATTACGGCGCTGTATGATGTGTTAATATAATACCTATATAGATGATGATGACTTGTGATTTTTATATATGTATGTATAGCCCGTAAACATGATTATTGAAAAATTTCTCGAACGATTTTGTCTTTGTAAAATGTTCGATTTTTACTTAAAAATCAAATATCTTAAAAACTAGTATGACTATAAACACGAAACTTGCTTTGTTAGATAGCTTTTTCATAAATTTGAGTTACTGCTTAGTGTAATTTCGATACGTTTAGTATTTAGTTTATTTTAAATCAAACTATAATTGCGGTCATTACTAATCATTGCGTAAGTCATTCTTGTAAGCTCAGTACGCCCGTGACAACTGTCGACGTCGATGAGAAAAATCAAAACACAGGATTTTTCTCACTCATATCAAACATGTATAAAATTAAAAAATGAGTAAAAAAGCAATATTTAAACAAAAAGGAGACGCTTGCAGAATCTCCGAGAACATGCGGCAATTGTTAGAGAGCAAAAAACTTAGGAAAATCCTAATAAGGAATGTCTCATAGAAGTTTTTTAACATTAACCCGCATTCGCATTTCTATATGACTAGATTCGAAGGACATCATTATATAATAAAACGCTTTTCAAAACATTTAAATTTTGCATTGTTTGAGACTAAACATTTGTACAGAAATTATATAAATGTATATTGATATCATTGATATACCTATATGCACATTATGCTGATTTTGAATGATTTGCGACGTTACTCAAAGAGTATGTAAGTTTTCGCCAAATGGAATAACTAATGTTTGAAATAAATGCACCACATAATGTGCATTGTAAAGGGCAGAAATAAAGAAGGAGTCACGCTAGTGCAGTAGTAGTGTGTTCACGTTTCGCTTCGTTGTTCGGTTCGCTTTTTGCACTTGCCTTTTATATATACAGTGGAAGATTTAGCATAACCACAATTTACGTATTAACCCTTCAATTGCTGTAGTGCAGCGCTGCACGCCTTCGTGAGTAAAGTCCGTTTGGGGAAGTGTAGATCTGCTCGCTCGTCACCCGCATTCAATTTTTTGCAATTTTGGGAATAAATACAATGCAATACAGTTCAAAGTCTTTTGAATTTTATACCCAGATGAATACACCATTCACTCATTGTGGTGAAGTCGTTCTTATGACCAAACAACCGTTAGTACGACGATTTTAAAATCGAGTATCGGGGAGCTCGCAACTAAAAAGTAATTTTTAAAACAGTTTATTAACAACATTATATTACAACAGTATATTATTTTTTTGCAAAAATCTATTGTTTAGTTATTCAACTTTGAAAAGGTTATCAATGAAAAGCACAAGTATTCGTATAATTTATTCAAATCGCGTTTATGCCACCTAAGGTGCGAAATTGATTTTGTCTACGTTTCCTGTTAAAAATAAAAAGGTTGAAACAATTTATATAGGAAATTACTAAAAAAGAAGGTACATTGACTATCTATAATTGAAATAAAATATTTTGCTGCATGTCGACCGAACGATTTATTAAAGTTATTGAATAAATTTCAAACTGCGTCGAGCGCGCGCTGCGGCCGCGCAATCGTTCCGCAAGCGGGGGGTGTTTTAGGCGGAGGCTTTCCCGCAATTGAAGGGTTAAAAGAAATCGCATCGCATGTAATATTCAATCATTCATGATTAAAGTCGATGGCTCAAGTGGATAGCACGTTCAGTCTGCGTTCGATAAAGATAGAAAGAACGCAAGAAACTTTCGCAATGATCGATCATAGGATGGGGAACAAACAATTACTATCTTCAGCACCACTGTACTTCGAAAGGCGCGTTAATCTGTTGGTCCCGGCTGCATCTGCATTCGTTAGCGCACACTTTGTTAGCATACAATCGCTTTGGGCACGAGTCATTAGTGATGGCCTAATCCATCCATAATGAAGGCTTGTACTCTTGTTGATGATAACCCAATTACGCACGGACGAAAAGTGCATAGCGAGATTAAAATATACAAAACACATTCCAGCTTAAATCAAATGCCTTAATATTTTTTAATGTTTCCTATATATTTTTATTCATACAACTTTGCTCTTTTTAATACTAACATAACAAAAATACCATTGGCTAAATTGGCACAGCCGTTCGTGAGTGACGCTCTATCACGTATTATAATATGGCAATTTATGTTTAAGTACTAGATTGCCTTTCGACAGTCTTAAGAAATTCGCATCACTTAAATAGTATGTTTAAGATAGGTAGGGCATAGCGGATTTTTCGAATTGGAGCGCCAGTTGGGGAAGTAAACTCCACCTTATGGAAAATCACAGTAAAACAACACTACCTTTTGGTGTTGTTGTGTTTCTATTCCAGGGCTCTAAGAGGGTAGGGATTGGGTCAGGGTAAGCCGATCTCTTATCTTACCCATATAATTGATATAATGAATGATATTTATAGTATCGCAAGCATCCACAGGCCATGGTGGCCGCTTACTGGTGGACCATAAACTTGTTTTCCACCGTTTTTACATAAAAAAAACTGTATAAAAATAATTCAGAATTCAATATAGCAGAGCTTGTACTATAGAAAGTACAAAAAGTATAGTATACTTATTAAAATATAAACAGCATTGACTCGGAAACAAATTTTGTGCTTATCACACAAATGAATGCCTCTACACTTAGTTTCACTGCTCAATGCGTGGTATTATAAATTTTAAAAAAAGAACATTGTCATTCACCCGCGTTTTACTACCGCACCGCCCTGTAACATTTCATAAGTTATAAGTTCTTAGATCACCCCATACTTTCATAATATTTTATAGAGTATTCATATCATGGTTGAAAATAAAGTCTTGTATAATAACTGTTATATCTAGGTATTAAAACACTAATGTGTTACTTTTATCTCACTCGGCTTCGCCTCGCGTTGTGTTTAATATTTTCCCGAAAAAAAAAACAAAAAGAATACAAAATTAAAAGTACAAATACGAACAATATTAACCCATCGCTTCATATATCTTCATAACGCCTAGAAAAAACATAAAAGTAAAAAAATAAGAAAACTTAAATAGAAGTTAAGAGATTTTGAATACAATTGTTACTTCTATGTAGTAGGTATTGAATAAGCTCAGGTGGAATTATTACTATAGCAAATAAAAACAAAAGAATTTACACTTCTGGGATCTACGCTAAAAAGTAGCTAAAATTTAAAAGCCATCCTTGTTCTTTTTAACTAAATCAAAACAGTCGCAAAGCTGGCATTGAACATAGTCAAGTCATATAAATCCAAATAGTGATAGTAAGAAAATAATCTATCATATTTTTACTGAATTCGCTACATTATTTTAAAAACTAGCAATTAGTCGTTTCTTTTTCTATTTCTTAACATTAATAGCCGATATATTTAATTCGCTTATGCGTACGATATAGAATTAGTTAACAAATGCAGGAGCAATCAGAATCTAATAAAATCACATTAAATGGTCAAAAACAAATGAAAACGATCTAATAGCGAGTGCTACTAAACATAAAAAAGAAACAAACAATAAACTTCGCGAATGCAACAGATTACCTGAAGAGATTGCTAAAAAACTTCCATATGCTCTGTTTGTTTTTCTTGTCCATGTTGGAATCCACACGGCTCGCTCGCACCATCTCTGTCCAACGCACGGCGTCTTGCAGCTCTATGAAACGTTCCTGATGGCAAATAAAAGATAGAAAACCATCATCAGTAGCCTTCGACATTATTGAGTGTTTTTGTCATCGCTTAATAAGAAAATTTTCTGGATATGAAATAGTTTTACTCGTAACTTCAGTTTACACTACAATCGATGGAGATACACACCCCGCCCGTAAGCCAACCCGCCGAATTCAGCGGAGACTATTTATGCAGTGTTTTAGTAGTTTCCAGTGTGAAACAAATTCTGGCTTAATACTTCGCTATTGTTTTCTTGAGAAACAGCTGAATGTGGCAGTGGTTAGTGCGTTCGGTAAGCAATCGTGGAAGTGGAATAAGTAACTTATGCATTAGCCTTTCAGTGTGTCTCAAAATTTAATATCTACAAATAAAGTTCGCCGTGCTTTGGAATGCGAAAAGAATTAGTTTTCACTTAACTAATTCTTTTCGCCCAGTGTGGTCTGCGCATACTCTACACAATAGCAAACTACGAATTATCACTAAGGTCTCAGGTAATGCAAAGGACAATGGGAACTTTACTATGGAAAAATACCCCACAGCAGACAGAGATGAATTCCATCTTATTTTAAATCTTTAGATCTCTAAATATGTTGACCTTGAGCGCATGTTGTCCACCGGAATATTGAGATATAACGAGAACAACATACAATCATTGTATACAAACAAAGCAGAGGTCGCGCGTGCGCTAAATACTTTTCTATCATTATTATCGTTGAAGCAGCTCGATGTCGCAGGTGCATAGCGTGTTCGACCTGCGATCGTGAAAATTAAGCAACTTTCGCAATGATCAGTCATTGGATGGGTGACCAAAACTAATTATCTAGAGATCCTCCGTACTTCGAAAGGCACATTCAGCCGTTGGTCCTGTCTGCATCTGCAGTCGCTAACACTCGCCCATCCGCATTGGGTTCGCGTGGTGGGTCATCGCGAGGTTTCGTTTGTGTCCGCTACATTTTTAAAAGCAGGGCAAAATGTTCCCAATGTCTTTTATAACAGTAAGATGAAAGACATTTTAAAACAATAAAACGTCAAGTATGACTTATTACCTTGTACTGATTCCTCTCCATTAGGACTCTCGCCATCTCCACTCTGGTGAACCGCCTACGTTGCGCCATAGGAACATCGGCTTCATCCTCGTTGTCGCCACCGCCAGCGTTGTTGCTCACAGTCTCCTGCAAAAAATATAGACAATCAACGACGGATGTGGGTTGGTATCTCTTGTATAAGTCACGGAAATGAATCAAAAATGGACTACGCATAACACCATGTTATGCGTAGTCCATTTTTGATTCATCCTTTAGCACATCTTTTTAGGAATAATGTAGGAGAGTAAGCTTGTTTCGCGTCGTCATTTTCGATTTACTGACGCGATCTGTATACATGATTATTATTACTTCTTCTAGTACCACGTATGTTAGAAAACAATTTCAGCAGCATATTCTGTGATGCGTGCTACTAAAAAAATATTATAATATTCTGGACTACTTTCTAATTAGAGACCCACTTTTAACTAAATCTATTGTCAAATAGGACAAGTAACACAAACCTTAAGATTCCTCAACTCCTCCTCAAGTTGCGTAACTCTTTCTCTTAGTTTCTCTCTCGCGGCGCTCAGGTTAGATACCTCTTCCCTTAAGATCTCTTGTTCAGCAGTCAACTCATCCACCTTCACAATCAAGTCATCCTTCACAACGTTCAGAGCATTCCTGTTTAAAAATTGTATATGGTTTGGTATAGACATCTATGAAAGTTGATTAATATAAAAAAAATCGACGTTGTTTTCCAACTGCGTATAATTTCTGAACAGTACGATGTACTTTCGTTTAAACATAGGCAAAGGCAATTCATACAAGCGTGTTTAGCGGACGCCCTATATGTAGAGGTTATTCTTCATAACTTAGTTTTCTCATATTTTAAAAATACCTATTATTTAAAAAAAAACAAGGACGTCGACGCGAAATATGATTCTATAAAGAACTACTGAACTGATGGATGGAATGATGTCTTCGTAACAATGTATGTATACTGTCGGAAGCAATGCAATTAGATCAAACTGTTAACAGCGGATTTCACAATTCGTGATCTAAAGGACACTACGAAGGACTTCATTTATGTATTAAAAGCAATAAAGCAACCCGTATTTGCAAATCATCGAAGAACAGATATGTTTGAATTCTCGCTAAACTGAGAGGTTAAACCAGAACTTATATTGCAAATATAAAATGAAACAATACATAATAGAACTATGTGGAACTTACTTGGTCGCTAGTAACTCGTTGTTTTCCAATATTAGGTTCTCAACTTCTTTGCCCATACCTGTTGAACATTCAAATTAAATAAAAATTCACTCACTTCACATATGTAAGAAAAATGTCTACTCTACAAATGTGACCCATATCCATAGAACTAGAAATTGCGCTTCGATAAAATTTTTCTTTCGATATACACTTCTGGACACATCTATTGGCCCACCTTGTATTTTCAGTTTCGTTTGGTCCTAGCTAAAATTTTATATTAGGTCGAGCAAACCGTTTTTATGCAGTTTTGAACCTGGCACATTCACAATTTCATTCAATAGTCTTTTTTTGAATTTCGAACTCAGAATTTAAAGAAACAAGAGACAATTTGGAGCCTGTTTGTTGATATCAAACAATCGAATCCATTGAGATACAAAAACAAATTCGCGACTTCCACGGAGTATCTGTGAGCGCTCGAACTGTTCGGAGAAGGTTAAAAGAACGCGATATGGTACCACACAAGCCAGCTGATGGGCCCAAACTAACGCGAGCCCACCGAACAGCGCGCCTTCATTTCCCACGCAGTCATTTAAATTGGACACAGCAAGATTGGAGTCGTGTACTCTTTTCTGATGATTCTAAAATTGTGTTACATGGCAATGATGGAAGGAAGAAGGTCTACCGACGTAAGAGCGTTTCGCACAATGCTGCTTTGAAGAGAGGGTTGCTTATGGCGGTGGCTCATGGACTGTCTGGGGCGGTATATCCGCGAGCGGCAAAATACAACTTGAGGTTGTTACAGGACCACGGCTGCCAACATTAAATGCTGAAAGGTACATTCGTGAGTGCTTAGAACCTCACGTGATACTATACGCGGACTATGTGGGCCCAAATTTCCTTTTTATGCATGATAATGCAAGAGCCCATGCGGCCGGCATCGTCAGGGAATATCTTCGGGATGTGAACATCACAGTTATGGACTGGCCAGCCAGAAGCCCAGACATGAACCCCATTGAGCACATGTGGGACGAGCTAAAAAGACGTGTTAGGGCTCGTCAGCCAGTTGCCCAGACGATGCAGGAGTTGAAAACTGCCATAGAAGAGGAATGGGAGATGATCCCTCAAAATTTCATAGAGCGGTTGATAAACTCTATGTCTAATCGTATGAGAGCTGTGGTAGATGCCCATGGAGGCAACACGCGTTATTAAATTAAACCTTTATTTGATAAAACATGTTTTTTATTCAAAAATCAATTGCCTTTAACAAGGCGCATATCCGACTTGTAGGGCGTAGCTCCATGTCGTATGGTATTCTGAATTCAAATTTAAAACAATACCATCGAAAAAGATGGTAAAATGTATCAGGTTTAAAACTGCATCAACAGTTTTTGTTCAATCTAGCAATCATATTTCGGTAGGGGCCATCGAAACCTAAAATCTAAAGTGGGCCAATAGATGAGTCCAGAACTGTATAAACATAACATGAAATTTCGTATTATGTTTGCAACCATTTTTTGCATTTAAATCATAAATTATTAATACCATACCTAAACAATCATATAATATATTAACTATGTATATAGATACAAATAAATGGAGCATGGAAACAAGATGTGTGATATTATTTTTAATAAACCTACTTCCTATACCTTTAATTAAATGTATTGTGTAATTGAACGCTGAAATGTAGGTACAGATAAGTTTGGCCTCGTAAACAATATATGTAACGGTGACTGGGTTTTGTCTTGCAATGTGTACACATCTTGCTTCCCTGCGTCAATCATCACTGCGAAGAATATTACTTACCAAAGTAGTTATCGTTAACTGCAAAACGTTGAGCCACATTTTGTTAGAACGCATGGAAACAGAATGAACATAGTATTAGTAGAGGTAAAATTCTGAAGCGACATTTTCTATTTCTCGAGTACTGACAACATGCTTCATACAATTAAACATACAATAACTTAATATAAACACAGTTAAAGATTTGAAGTTTTTTTTGTAAGATGCGTGTTTCAGTGAGCATACAAATTATATAATCAAATCATAAGTTGCAAATGTTATAAAGTAGTGCATCAAGAAAGTAAGTTTTTTTTTTTGTAGAAATTAAAGATAAGTTTCAATTTAAAATATGTACCTATTTTCTGTACTTTCAAAATTTTTGAGATTTCATCGTTTTTTAGTTGGTAATGTCGTTCTTTTCTTCGGACATAATTAAACCGTTGACTATGATTTGAAATGTACCATGTATAAAAGGCTACAAGTCCTGTTCAACAGTAGTCATTAATATGTTACAAGTGCCAAGTTACGTGTTGTTATGATTAGAGAAAAGGTTAATATTAGACACACATAAACACAGCTTATTGGCTACAGTGAAATTTCGTAAAGCAATTATATAACAGCGTGTCAATGAATATGCTAAATACTTATGCTAGAATAAATATTATTTCTTTAAAATCGATTTTAAATGCATTTGGATTTTAAATAGAATGGATTGGAATTTTTACTAATGTGTATACAGTACAGTATATGTTTTACTTATGTTTTACTTAAAGAAGTGAAATCTGTTTAGAGTCGTTTGACTAACATTAGGTTATGAAAAAGCGTTCACTTTTTGTTTCTATTAGATTTCCAGATTATTCTACAAAATTTATTTGTTAACAGTTCATTGGGTACAATATTGTTATTATTGTATAAGTTGGTACCGAGCACTTACCGGAAGAAGCATATTCACCAGGATGAACCCAGCTGCCTGTGAGGGAAAAACGCTCATAAATTAAAAAGGTAAAATCATCAACACACGCTATTATTATTATTATATGGGAAATAATAAGAAAGTGATACATTGATTTAAGGGCCTATGACCTAATGGATGAGTTAATAAGTTTATATTACGTACACTTAAAATAGCGTTGGGTGACCATCCACTGAGGAAGAGTGGAATAAATCGTATTTTATTTATTGTGTTATTAGCGTGCAGTATACAGCGTATCAAACGTATGAGTAAAAATTACACTGTCACTAAATTCTAATATTTATTACTTTATTCAATAATATAATAGAAAGTAAGTGGGATTTCCAGTTTATGTATACCACTCGACATTATTGTAGTAGCCTTTCCGAATGTTATTTATTATATATGGGAATAATACGTGTTATTATACAAAATTACACGATTGTATTTTGTAGCTTAGCGGAAAAGTGAAATATCAAAATCAATCGAAGTTTCCTGCTTGAGCGCAGGATTTTTGTTCAGTTGCATCATTTTCTTGTTAACAAAACCTATATAATGCAATATATTTTCAAGCTTTAATACAGTTTCAAGCTATAGTTAAATTAGCTTATTTTAAACCGACAACAAGCCGGTATTCTAATGCTAAAAGAAAGGTTATACATTCATACTTCTTCACTTCAACAGTTAGTATAATACTTAAACTAACAAAGTCGGTTACAGGACAATAAATTTACTGAAATTTAATTAATACTTCAACCTTATTGACTTATTGTGGATCAGAACCCCAAGAACGAACTTTGACAGATACGTATTCGTATCGCCAACGTCACAGTCTCTATGGAAACTAAGCAGCGACCCTACCGGACGTAAGAACAAATTCGCTTTGAAACTGAGGTTGGCGATACGAATACGGATCTGTCAAAGTTCGTACTGTACCCCTAGCACGAACCATTATCGAATTCGAATAGTTTGCAAACCGAAATGTCAATGTCAAATTTTGTATGGAAACTTGAACAGCAGCGGCACAAAGTACGTAACGAGAACTAAAAATAAGTACACATTTGAAAATGACATTTCGGAATCGCAAACGATACGAATTCGATATTTGTTCGTGCTAGGGGTACTGAACTGTAGTCGGTCAGATTACGTTTTGTTTTTCCTCTAGCCGTAATCGATGCAATTGTTGAAGCAAATCTTTAGCGGACAGTCACCCTCAGCGAACGGTTTTTACCTGTGATGTCAGCACCGTCGTCGCCTTCTGCTATGTTCGCCTCAGTATCGTGGAAGGCCAGCTCTTGGTACAGAGTGTTCCCACTGCGTTTTTCGCTCTTCGTTTGCGATTTCCCCGTGCTAGAATTCGGTGGCGCTACTGGCGATGTCGCCTGGAAAATCATCTATTAATAATAAATTGTTACATTGGTTTTAAATTGCAGTTTCAGTTTGTAGCCTATTTAAACATTGATTGGGCATCAAACAATACCTATGACCCTAAAATTTCTCCCTTCTACCACCAACCCTTTTTTATGGCGGAATGGAGTTCGCTGGGACAGCAAATTATTAAAAAAAATGGATTATGTGATAGTAATTTGTGAACACATTCTCGTAAAGCCTTTTCCAACTATTATTATTTGACAACCTTTGATTAGTTTTATGACCGTCATTTATCGGGTGAAAATAAATTAAATTTGGTGACGACTAAAGAAACAATCATACTTTTTTATTTAATCTGAGGGTACGGTTTATGAAATTTAAGCAATATTTAATTGTATCAATGTTCATGCCATCATGTTGGTATGATGAAATCGGTAAACTCCAGTCACCAAAAAGATTTCTAACTTTAAAGTTATTGATTTACCTGAATTAGTTTTAGTTCCCAACGGCCGTATTCAAATACATCTATTTAAGAAAACGACATCATCATATTTAAGTAAACTAATAAGCAAATAATTAACATCCGAACTCAAAGGCGTCAATTATATTTAGTATTTCTGTAAATCACATTTAAATATATATAATATGTTTTTCTTGAAATAAATTTAAATAGCACAAAAATATTAAGCACCAATGTTACTGTTACGTGTACACGCGCGCATTGGCTATGAACCAGCTGCAGACGAGTCGCGCATATAATGTATACGGAAAAAGAACTGCCACCTACCTACTTCCGAGATTTATCAATGAATTACCGCCGAAATTACGGGTCACTCTAACAAACGGTAATATTAAAAATAAATTAAAAGAATACTTTTTTAACAATTTATAAAAATAAATTTACTAATTACTTATAAAATGTACTTATCCAAGCCCAATATATTCTGTCTATTTTAAATGTGCATTCATACCTTTTTTTTTATTAATGTAATAAAGTAACTCCGTTAGCAATTTAGATATTGTCATGCAGGCGTACGTCGCATAAATTCAAATCTCTGTGGTTTTATGATGCGATTGTTCACAACATTATAATTGTATTTCTTTGACTGGTAATAATAATAATAAAAAAACTTAACATAATGGAATATTTGAAATAAAATTTTATTATTACTATAACCTTCGATCAGTTACAAATTCATTAATGTTCTGAATGTAGCCATAGGATATTAATATTTTTGTGGTGGTGGAACAAAACTTTTTGCTCAACTATCTTTTTCATTTTGAGGATCCCAGTTGTCAAATGATTGTCACAGCGAAACCTCTTAACTTCTTAATTAAAAATTGGAATCAATAAATAAAATGATTTTTACCAAGTGCAATTTAGCATGTTTTCTATTGTTCATGTCGTTTCTCATACAGGTGACAAGCTTGAAATGTTACCAATGCTCATCGATAACGGACATTGGGTGTTTTGATTTTAATTTGGATAGCGCTCATCTGAAAGAATGTGCAACCAAGAGTAACTCCGAACCCGTATGCCGCACCCTTTCTCAAATACATTTCTTCACAACCAAACAAGATATAATTGTTATCAGAGAGTGCGCATACGTGTATAAACGACCTTTAGAATGCATACAATCCAAGTTTAGCAATATACATTATTCGCGATATTGCGAATGCAACGAAGACGGTTGCAACACAGCGTCGAGTGAAAAACGTAACTTTATGATTAATAGTATAATTTTAAGCATATTATATGTTACGCAATGTTTTAATTAAAATAGAATTTACTGTATAAATATAGACTCCACTATTGAACCACTATCACCTTTTCAAAACGAATATGAACGAAGTACGTACTTTTCTTTTCTCATATCCTTACGCTTAGAATAATAAAACATTAATCAAAAATAAAAATCTTTGTATTCGTCATTCATTAGATCACATGAAAGGTGACATGAATAGAAGCCAACCAAATGTCGAAAAACCTACTCGCCACCAAACGCCCTGAGCATTGAAATATTAACTTTACTCAAGTTTAACTCGAACGTTTAACACTTAACATGTGTTTATTTAAAAGCCCTTTTATATTTTTTGCAAGAAATCGTGATTTTTAGTCACCTACTTTACCCTCTTAGAAATGTATTTTTTTTTGTACAACAAAGAAGTAGATTTATCTTTATTACTGTAAGTTAATATAGAATATTTGCAAATATTATTATTAGTCCAGGCACTGGATTGAGTTGAGTAAGCAAAATGTGAGGACCGCATTCAGTGTACGGTTTTGAACTCGGAACATCATGCAGATTATGATTCTGAATGTAGCCAGGAGTCATATACGTCCATTTTTTACACCTCACCCTCACTTAGACATCTAATAAATGGACTGTACACATGCTTTGGTATCATTGTAACGATTATTTTAGTGTGAATATCTAATTGATTTTTATGATTAAAGATACTTACAGCTAGCTAAGTGAAAAAAGAACAGAAAAATAAAAAATAAAAACAAAAGGTAATTATTGACAAAAAAAAATATTAAATTCAAAAAAACATATTTGAACATATTATAAAAGAAAAAATATACCTCCGGGCACATCTATCGGCCCACTCAGTGTTATAAGTTTTAATGGTCTGTACCAAAAATATATGTATATGCTTTAGCAATAATTTTAAAAACACACGAAAAGCTTTAAATCAGCTTCAAAATTCCGTAGGTATTAACTTTTTGCTTAATGTAACATTCATTTCTAGCTAGGGACCGTCAAAACTCAAAATTCTTGGTGGGTCGATAGATGTGTCTGGAAGTTTATAATTATCAATCTTTTTGAAGTTATACTTCTTTAGGCGCGTTATGAAAAAATGATGAGAGTGAAATTTTAAGATGCGCGCGCATCACTATAACACAAAATTTTAACAGCATGAAGTTGGTCGCTTTAGCGACCGACTTCATGCTGTTACTTTTGTGTTTACCGCACATTAAGAAAATCTACCAACAAAATAGAAATAGAATCTCTACTTAGTGGGTGCTAACGACTGCATTGTGAAGGCCTATCAAAAGTATTTATTAATCTGGAACAACGGAACCAAAGCGCGATTCAGGAGACTACAGCGCCATCTCTTGACCATTGGTGTAGTAGAACCAAAAACCACATCTTTATTTTTTGTAATAAAGTAACAGTTATAGGTATTCATATTTATAATATTTATCCACATGTTTCTAGTTTGTATATTCGGAATACGTGTTTGAGTTTCATACAAGTGCAAATCACATATGTTCTAATAAATTATATTCAGTAGCGATTTTAATTGAATATTTTGATTATTTATTTATTTTTTCAAATTAAAACTGAACTTTATTGACTGTGTCCTTTTCCAGACTTTTTATTAATTTATTGTAATTAATTATTTGCATGCAATTAAAAACTAATTTTAAACGATGCCAAAGAAGGATAACTTCTCACGCGCCTACATAAGTACACGCACCCATTTTTTTATTTTGACAATCGTTATTTATGCATTTGCATAAAGAAAACTATGTCATCTGGCTGCTTAATCCCTTGGAGAAAATATTTGTGGTATTTTGCCAGCATTAACACGCTCTGATGGATTGTGACTAGCCGATTTGGCTCGAAAAAAATGCTTTAAAAGCTGCACTATTGGATTTTGTACAAGAAGCTCTAAAGCATTTGGAAATTCATACCTAAGTGTCGAACAGCTAAAATAATTGGAAAACATTTGCACCTCTCTTTTTTCAAACAAAAATTTAGAGCTGTAGCAAACCGTATGTATTCGGTACTCAGTAACGGGTACGCCATCTAGTACCGAGTAACGAAACGTTACACACAAATAAATTTCGTTACTCGCATTTTTCGTAGTATGATGTAGATGATCTATATGTTTCAGTTTACGCAAGTACAGTTGATGTGTGTATAGAAACATTTGCTGATCTTATGTATTAAGCATATGCGAGCATATTTGGAGAATTTAAAAACGTACGTTGGAGTTTTTGACGGGATTTAATCGAGAGCGGTTGGCGTCTTATTTTAATTATTCTTAAATTCGTTCATAGTGGATGTTGTGAAATAAAATTGGTGTGATTTTGTGTTACAACCGTCTGCGTACAGTTTGTTTATAAAGTCGTGACATGAATGTTTGAGGAACAAACATTATTCATGTGTCTGGCAACACCAAACTTATGTACATCAGCTGTCATCGAGTTTCAGTTGTGAAACAGTTTTCCTTTTGTATTTTTATTGTTTGGATTAAACTGTAATAAATTAAGCAGAAAGGTATAAAAATGACTAAAGTAAATCGGAGTGGCACGCGGGAAGTGATTTTTAAAGTTTTCCAGCAATGTTTCGAAGACTACCAAGCTGGACGAATTTTGTGGGATTTGCATGATGTTTATGGGCGAACAGCATCTATGAGGGGTATGTAATCGTGTAGTTACACGAATCTGCCTGAAGTTACAAATTTACGCAATTTACGATTTTGAGACTTTTGGTCTCAAAATCGTAAATTTTTTACATTGCACATTTTTAAGTCAGATTGACATTGTAAATAAGTAATATTGTAGTACGACCATTTCTTTTGATACGTTATTATGGTTCAACTCGGTCAGGTTTTCTACCAATTTTGAATTAATTGCTTCATGTCAATAAGTTATTGTTTCTATTCCGTTACATATTTTTTTACTTTTTTTCAGGAAAATCAGAGAATCGGATAGTCGACGAAGGTTTTAAGAATGATGGAAAGTTTGAAACTCCTGGGAAAACAGGCAAGGCCGACCAAAGAAAGAAATGGTCACATAAAGAACCATGGCCACATGCTTTTAGTGAAGATACCTATCACTAATTTTACTAACTGCACATTTACAAATTGTTTCTCTAAATGATAAAATGTGTGACATGGAACCTATGATAGTCGAAACCACAGAACACAGAAAGATGTTAGAAGGGCCTTGTGGGCGGGGCAGGCGCGCCACAGTTAGTTGTGAGCAAATGCTCAT